ACCTAGCTGCGATTAGCGCTGGGGAACTAGAGCTCACCCGCACGCGGCGGGATATATATACCGAGGGGGCGGGGAGGTGGGCGGAGCCTTAAATAATCATTTTTTATTTCATCAAACTTAGAATGTTCCGGATTTCTGCGCATGTGCAAGGGGAAACCCATAGGTGTGAATTTCGCAGATGGACACTCGAAGAAATACGGTTACAGGTAAGCAACCTATATATACACACACACGTGCGCGCACACACACATATATATATATATTATTTATTTATTTATTTATAATTCAAACTTACATGCCGCCACTCCCCTGGGGCTCGGGGCAGCTTACAAGAACAGGCTAAAATTTTTAAAAACACTTAAAAACAATTTAAAAACAATTTAAAAACAACAATATCCGAGATCAAAGGCCTGTCGAAACAGATATGTCTTACATGCTCTGCGGAAAGCTGATAGGTCCCGCAAGGCATGGACTTCAGGTGGCAGAGTTTTCCAGAGTGATGGTGCCACTGCTGTAAAGGCTCTGTGTCTGGTTGCTGTTAGACGCAAGGTCTTGACACTGGGAATTTCCAATAGATCTTGGTCCTCAGAACGGAGGGATCTCTGGGGTTGGTAGGGGGTGAGGCGGTCCCTCAGGTACATCGGCCCCAGACCATGCAAGGCCTTAAAGGTGAGTACCATCACTTTGAAAGTGATCCGGTGCTCAATTGGTAACCAATGCAGCTGTAGTAAGATTGGGGTTATGTGGCATCTCATCGGAGTTCCCGCAAGAAGCCGAGCAGCTGCATTTTGTACCAACTTGAGCTTCCGGATCACCGACAGAGGAAGGCCAATGTAGAGGGCGTTACAGTAGTCCAGTCTTGAGATGACCGTGGCCTGGATCACCGTAGCTAGGTCGTCCCTGGACAGGTAGGGGGCCAGCCGTCTAGCCTGCCGCAGATGAAAAAAGGCGGTTCTGCTAACGGCGGAGACCTGGGCCTCCATCGCCAGCAGAGGGTCCAAAAGGACTCCCAGACTCTTTACCAATGATGATGGGCGTAGCGCCTCGCCATCCAGGGTAGGCAGCTAGATATCCCCACTGCCCGGTTGACCCAGCCATAGGATCTCCGTCTTTGCTGGATTCACCCTCAACCTGCTGGCACGCAGCCATCCAGTAACGGCCTCGAGGCACTGATGGAAACAATCGGGTACAGAGTCCGTTCGGACTTCCATCTTCAGCACAAGCTGAGTGTCATCAGCGTACTGGTAATACTCCAGCCCAAAACCTCGAACCAGCTGAGCAAGTGGTTGCATATAGATGTTAAACAACAGAGGGGAGAGAATGGCCCCTTGAGGAACCCCACAAGATAGAGGGGACCTCTCAGAGACCAGTCCTCCCCTCTCCACTCGCTGTCCACGGTTGTGAAGAAAGGAGGACAGCCAGTTTAAAGCTGTCCCCCTGACTCCAACAGCAGCAAGGCGGTGGGTCAAAAGATTGTGGTCGACTGTGTCAAATGCTGCTGTGAGATCCAATAACACAAGCAGCACCGACTCGTTCTGGTCAAGCTGGCATCGAAGGTGATCCGTGATGGAGACCAGCACAGTCTCTCTGTCCCATGCCCCGCACGGAAGCCGGACTCGAAGGGATCTAGTCCGGCTGTGTCAATCTAAGAATTGCATATGAGGTCCAGTGTGCTCTCTGGGTGTAGGGTCAACTACAACTCTCACTGTGTTGAGTCAGTCCCCTCAAGCCCCTCCAGTACTTTTTGCTGGTCATGGACTGTGTGCCAAGTTTGGTCCAGTTCTGTCTTTGGTGGAGTTCAGAATACTCATAGATTGCAAGTGAACTATAAATCCCAGTACCTACAACTCCCAACATGTCCAGGCCAATTCCCCTCAAAATCTGCTAGTATTCAAATGTGGACATATCGGGTATGTATGCCAAGTTTGGTCTAAATCCACCATTGTTTGGGTACGTAGTGCACTCTGGATGTAGGTGAACTACGACTCCTATAAATCCCTCCAAATACCTCCAATATTTTTTGTTGGTCATGGGGCTTCTGTGTGCCAAGTTAGTTCCAGGTCCATCGTTGGTGGAGTTCAGAGTGCTCTTAAGATTGCATGTAAACTATAAATCCAGTCCCTACAGCTCCTATAAATCATGGAGTTGATTTATAGTATGTTCAGTTGCTGATCAATCACTCTGTTTGCTATGTGCCATAGGAAAGGGTTAAGAGAGAGGTAGTAGGTGGCATCATGGAAATTCTACACCAGTGGAGAAAGTCAGAAACAGTGGGATGTCTGTGGTGGAGGAAACACATAAAATCTAGGATGGAATTGTCCCGAATGAAAGCCTTGACTTCGGTGTTGGGCAGTATGGTGTTTGTGGAGGACATTGGCAGGGCTCTTGGACATGTTTACGGTGCTCATTATAACCTGCAGTGTCACCCTTTGGTGTCTCCTGAGTAGTGAAAGCTATAGCTGTTTGTGGAGGGAGGAGCTTGTCTGTGTAAGTGGACACTCCAGCCACACTCACATACCTATTTTCACTTTTATTGTGTGTATAGGTATGCCATTTATTCTTAGTATTGTGCTTTCAGGTTGTTCCTAACATACAGAAATCCTATTATGGGTGAGTTTTTGGACTCAATTTGTTCAGAGGGGGCCTAACTTTTGCATTTCTCAGATGTTAACTTGTCCAGGGATATGAACTCTCTAGAATGACAACCACTACAAGATGCTGGCTCTATTCCTGCCTAAAACAGAGGAGAAGACCCCTTCGCCCTTGAGGTATGTTTTAATAATAGTGAGATTGTGCTTGGAATGAAGTGCAGGAAGCGCCCTTTCCCCTGCTGTCAGGATGAAATGACCCCAAACTAGAAGTTTTTGAGTCTTCAGAAAATGGTGTCAAGGTTGCCTCCCAAGCCCTTGAATGGGATCTGTATAGATATTTCATCCAAACCCACACTTTTCCAGACAGTCTGATGTGCTGAGATGCCTGGGATATAATTTTAATCACATATATTGCATTTTAATCTAATATCCACATACTTGTATTTTTGTCTTTCCCTTGCTTTAAATTGTCATTTGATTGTGCGGTCCTTAGCTGCCTTCGAATTCTGATGGGGTATAAATTATGTATACACACACTATTTATATTCCACTCTATTTCACCGAGGGGACTCAGGGCAGATTACAGAGCACATATATGATAAACATTCAATGCTGTTATACAATTAACAAGGACAGACAGACAATTCATAAACAGAGGCAAAAGGTTTTCCCATCTTTTCCATTTCTGGCACATGGAGGCTGTGCTCCAGCCACAGAGTGTGTGTGTGTGTGCTGTCACTCCATCTTCCATGCTGAGCTTTGTCATTTTTAGACATCCTCCCAATTGAATCACTGGCATGTCCACGTGGGCGGGCGCCTTTTTATTACCACCTCCCTTAAAGCGGTATCTAACTTCTCACATTTCTTTTTTCAATCTGCTAGGTGGGCAAGGAGCTGGGGCTGACAGCGGGTGCTCACCCCGACCCGGGTTTGAACTGCCAACCTTTCGATCAGCAGGCTTTTCCTGCAGCTTAGTAGTTTAACCCACTGTGCTAAGCCCAGCCCCTATTATGTAATATTATTACTATTAACAATAGTTAATAACTATTTAATAACTAATAATAACTAAACATTTCCTCTGAAAAATCCTGCAAATGTCTTGGGAAGATAGGCAGACAATTGTCGGCATGTTGGAAGAAGCAAAGACGACCAACACTGAAGCAATGGTCCTCCGCCATCAACTTCGCTGGACCGGCTACGTTGTCTGAATGCCCGATCACCATCTCCCAAAGCAGTTGCTCTACTCCAAACTCAAGAATGGAAAATGAAATGCTGGAGTACAGGAAAAGAGGTTTAAAGATGGGCTCAAAGCCAACCTTAAAAACTGTGGTATAGATACTGAGAACTGGGAAGCCCTGGCCCTTGAATGCTCTAGCTGACCAGCAGTACTGTAGAATTTAAAGAGGCACAAACGGAGGGCGAAAGAGAAACGTGCCAAGAGGAAGGCGCATCAAGCCAACTGCTTTCCATCTGGGACTGCTTTTCACCTGGAAACCAATGCCCTCACCACAGAAGAACATGCGGGTCAAGAATAGGGCTCCACAGTCACCTACGTACCCACCGCCAGGACACCACCCTTGGAGGACAATCTTACTCAGTCAACAAGGGATCGCCTAAGTAAATTGCATTAATAATAATTGATAATATTACTACTACTTCTAATTATTATTATTAAGAATAATGATAATAATGACCCAGCAAAAGGTTGGTGGTTGGATACAGATGCTTTTTGGAAGCTGTCTTTCAAAATGTGTTATTGCAGTGGTTCTCAACCTGTGGGTCCCCAGATGTTTTGGCCTTCAACTCCCAGAAATCCTAACAGCTGGTAAATTGGCTGGGATTTCTGGGAGTTGTAGGCCAAAACACCTGGGGACCCACAGGCTGAGAACCAATGTGTTATTGCCATGAATGGGATGCCCAAATAAGGGCAAAATTGGGACATAACCCCCGTACATGAGATTTTCCTTTTGCATTGTAATAATAATAATAATAATAATAAATATCAAAAAAGATTTGACAGGCAAAGTGATCCATGGAATGCACATTGAAGAGCTCCAAGCATGAATGACTTTCAATGTCTTGGCTCTCTTACTTGCAAAAGATTTTGGGGTTTAAGGAAGATTTTATTGATGGGAGCCAGGATTCTCATTTGAAGAGATAATGCCTTTTTTGCCTCCTCCTTACCTTTGTCATTAGGATAGATTTCATAACAAAAAATAAATAAATTAATTAAAATCCCCCTTTTAAATTTTAATATTATTTTTGGTTAATTTCTCCTGTTGGTTGTTGTCACCAGGATATTTCCTAGCAATTCGCCCAACCAAAAAGCAAATCAGTAGACCCTCAGTTTTTTTTTTTCATTTCCCATAGACTCACCTTCCCCTTTTTGTAATAAGACACACACAAATCTTTATTGAGCCGTCCATTATTTCTTTTAATTCGACTTTGTCATGTTTGCTTGTTTTTTTCTCTTCTCACTGTTACAAAACAACAACAACAACAACAACAAAAGTAATGTTTTGCAAAGGGTTTAACATTGTTAAGCGTGTTTGCTTCTTGAGCCAGAAACTCTGGGGTGTTTTGTGTTTATTTTCCTCCTTGTTTCGGCCGACAATTTCCCTTTAGAGAAGAAGCTAGGGGCTGCCTTGGCGGGAGTCAATAAATAAGGAGCGTTCAGAGCATCTTCGAAGGCCGAAATATACATTCAAGGGTTGATCCTGGAGGGAAGAGGGGTTCGTTGGGGAGGAAGAGGCAAACAGGGTTCTCCTTAGCAAAACAGGCCCAGCCGAATGCTCCTATCCCTTGTAAAGACCCACATTTCAAAACTAAAAGGTCATGAGAACTTTTAATCTGAGCGAACAAGTGCAAAAGCCTTCCCTCTTTGCATTGTATATTCCTGCCTTGACATTAGGATGAATCCTAGAGTTGGAAGGGACCCCCAAAGACCATCCAGTCCAACCCTCCCAGGCCAGGTAGGAAGACACCATCCAAAGCCTACCAAAAGATGACCATCCAAGCCCTATTTAGAAACCTCCGAAGAAGGAGAGGTGATGGTCTTAGATTCCACTAGAGTTGGAAGGGTCTCCTAAAGGCCATCCAGTCCAACTCCTTTCTGCCATAAAGGAAGTCACAAAGCCCTCCCAGCGGATAACCACCCAGCCTTTGAATCACAGAATCCTAGAGTTGGAAGGGATCCTCAAAGGCCAGGCAGGAAGATGCCATTGAAACCCTCCCGACAGATGGCCATCTAACCTGTTTCAAAGAGTTGTGATACTCCAAAGGCCATCTAGTCCAACCACTTCTGCCAGGTAGGAAGACATAATCCGATCCCTCCTGACAGATGGCCATCCAGCCTCTGCTTGGAAACTCCCCCCCTTCCCCCGGAGACTCTCCTGCCAGGAAGCTTCCTCATGTTGAGGTGTCATCCCTTTTCCTGCCATTTGAATCCATTGCTTCATTGCATCCTAGTCTCTGGAGCAGCAGAAAACAAGTTTTCTCCCTTCTCAATTTTTTCCATTATTTAACATAGCTTTCAAGCCTTTCTCATCCTTCTCTTCTTCAAGCTAAACATCCCCAGCTCCCTAGGCCACTCCTCATCGGGATTCATAGTCTTGCCCATCTCCTTTATGAATTACTTCATCTAGAAATGGACTCATTTCAGACGAGGTCTGACTAAATTGGGACGCTGACATTCCTTGATCCCAACACTGTCCTCGAATTGATGCAGCTTGGAATTGCATTGGCCTTTTTAAGCTGCTGCATCACAATGTTGACTCAAGTTCAGCTTTGGCATCCTTTGTTTCGGCTCTCTCTCCTTTTCATCAGCGACTTGCCCTTTACACAAAACACTTACTTATCTTTAAAAGGCTTTTCTTGGTTTCTTTCTTCCTCAAAACTGGAAAGCAAACCGCTTGCAATGGTTGCAAAAAGTCCATCCCTTTGCAAATGCCCTCAAACCTCCTCTTTTTCTCCTTCCGAACTAAGAATGAAACAAGTGCATTATCTTCTTTTGTACCTGATGATCGAAGCAGCTTGGACTATTAGGTATAGATAATAGATACAAAGAGTTTTGGTTCCAAAAAAATTAGCACCCTTATAAATAACAAAGTGATATATATAGAAGAGAGGCATAGCTAAATGCGATTAGGAAAGACACGGTTTGAAGGGGAAAATACAATCCTGCTTTTGCTTTGGGAAGAAGACCCAAGTTGGGAGTTGGGACTTGGATTGTTTGCTGTTTTTCCGACTTTGCAAAGCTTTGCAAAGTCAAAAAAAGCAAAGGATTCAAGGCCCAGCTCCTGAATTAACGCATCAGCACAGAGGGCCAGCCCCCAAGAAGAAATACAGACCATAAAAAACATAAGGCACACAATCTTCCCCCAAACACCCCTTTCGGCACAAATCTACCCATAGATCCTCTCCAACCCTTTCTGCCTTTTCGGGAAACGTACCATTTTTTGTATTTTTTTTTAAATAACTGGTTACGAAGCACAGTACCGACGCTATAAAAATATAGCAAACATACAAAAATATACATTTTTAAACAACATTTTCTTCTTCTTTTTCTCCTTGTAAAAATCCCGTATAAATTACCTGCAACAAGGTGAAACCGACAGCAAGAAATACGAAAACGGAAGGAAAGGGATACCTGCCAGAGGTTTTGTAAGGACGGACCACCGCCCAGCAGTGGTTTCAAGGCCGTAATGGGGGGAAAGGATGAGTCAAATTGTCTATTTTAATCCAGTGAGACCCGCCGGGGGCCACAACTGGTCGCCAAATGGCTACTAGATGCACACAAATTGAGATTTTTAAAGTTTTCAAACACATTTCAAAAAAGGAAGAGAACCAAAAAGAAATCAAATTCCAGGAAAAGCAAAGGATTATGAGAAAAGCTGGTGAGGTTTTGGTACTCAATGGAGAAATTGATTAGACCACCGAAGGAGAAATATTTGCCCACTTAGAAGCAAGGCTGGGAATTGCTCGTTAGCTTTTTTGGTTTAACTATTTTTAATATTTCCATGTTTGTATGTGCTAGGTTTTAATTCACACATAGTTATGGTTTTAATGTTAGCCTCTTTGAGTCTACTTTGGCAGAGAAAAAGCAGGGTATAAATATTATTATTATTATTATTATTATTATTATTAGTAGTAGTAGTAGTAGTAGTAGTAGTAGTAATAGATTTGTGGTAATGATTGAACCTTTAATAAGTGGTGAGTTTTACAAAATAATAATTATTATTGCTATTTTGTGATGATAATAAAAGAACTATTCATCAATTCGACTGGAGGGTTAGCAGTTCAAAGTTGTGAGTCGGGGTGAGCTCCTGGCTGTCAGTCCTAGCTCCTGCCTACCTAGCAGTTTGAAAGCATGTAGTGCGCCTAGATCAATAGGTACCGCCTTGGCGGGGAAGTAAAAGAGAGGCCCATGCAGACATCATGATCGGAGAAGAACAATAGGCTTCTCGGCATGGAAAAATGGAACAACAACACCTCATTATGGCCAGAGTTGAGCATTGCCTCGTCTTTACCCCTGTCTGTGTACTGTATATTGTTGTTTACTGTGTAAAAAGGTATTGAATGTTTGCCTTATGTATGTAAAACTGTAATCCGCTCTGAGTCTCTCCAGGGAGATAAAGCGGAATATAAAGTGTATTAATTATGGGTTTTACAAAATAATAACAATAATAATTTTGGAATGATAATAATGGGGCCATTCATCAATGGTAGTTTTACATAACAACAGCAACAACAACGTTATTATAATGATGGGGCCATTCATCAATGGTGAGTTTTATGAATTAGTAAAATAATAATAACAACAATTTTGATAATGATGGGGCCATTTGTCATTGTGGGTTATTCAAAGTAGAAGTGTGAGTTTATAATATAATTTAAAGACTAACAAGAGAGAGAAGTTGCCTGACTATAAGAGAGGTGGTAGATTAGTTTCTTAATTTCTTAGTTTATGTGTTACGTTTATTATGTTACACTTGGTTATCTGTAGTAGATATGTAGCTGTAGTGTTGTATAAGTAGTGCTTAGAATGTTAATGAATATATATTTTAAATGGCCCCAAAGCATGCCATATGTATAATTTAAAGGGGTTTGTTTACTATATACTAAAAATTACTATAGAAGGGGATTTCAAATGGCAGATGGGCCCAATTCCTGAGGAATGGTTGTGCTCAGAAAATTTCTAGGCAAGGCAGTTGATGCACAGCTTTTCTTTTCCAGATTATTATTATTATTTGATACACAACAAGATTAGTACACAGCAAACAAGATCACTATACTGGCTTTTGTATTGGATCACACGTTGGACACTTCCCAAGTGTCTAGGACTGTATGATGTATCGGTGAATAACATGTGCTGATCCAAGTAGGGTGGCCTTTTGCAGCTGACAGATGGTGATTTTGTCAGTGCCGATTTTTTTCAAGTGCAGGCCAAGGTCTTTAGGCACTGCACCTAGTGTGCTGATCACCACTGGGACCACCTTTACTGGCTTGTGCCAGTCTTTTCAATTCTATAACTAAATCCTTGTATCGTGTAAGCTTTTCCAGTTGCTTCTCATTGATTCTGCTATCACCTGGGATTGCAACGTAGACAATCCATACTTTGTTTTTTCCCCCGACGTTGCAATCCCAGGTGACAGCAGAATCGAAAAGAAGAAACTGGAAAAGTTTACATGAGTATTTAAAGGCTGAACTGCAAAGACTCTGGCACAAGCTAGTCAAGGTGCTCCCAGTGGTGATCTTTATTATTATTATCATCATCATCATCATCATCATCATCATCATCATCATCATCAACATTATCACCATCGTCATCATCTCCCAATTGAGAAGCAAAGTGGCTTACAAAATAACCTGGATAAAGAGCTCTTTTTTCTTTTACCAGAAAGAACAAGGAAATTAATATCTGGCAACTGGTATAATTTAAAGCCCAGAAGAGCCCTAACATTTTGGAAGTGTTTTTCTGGATGGAAAGTCATAGGAAAAAAGGGGAAATCAATTCCACAAGCATCACTTACTCTGCGATTTTGGGCACGACCAAATGACCCATCGCTTCCTGAAGCCCAAAACCAAAGAGGTATATTTTCCAACATTTTTCATCTTAGCTTCGAAAGAAGAATGCATTTCCTATTGTATTTTCTCTTCCTTTTTGTAAACATGCGGGGCAATATTCGCAATCGTATTCCTGTTGCCCGTTTCACCTTACGATTTACATAACCAAAAAAAAAAAAATACTGCGTCCATGATATATTATTATTATTATTATCCTGCTCTTATTTAAAACGCTGCACGTGTCACTGTTAGCTAAGGCAAGCGATGATGATTAAAGTGCTGGGGCAGTAAATACAAACCGTAAACCAAATATATATATATAATACAAACCTATGTGCGCAAACACACTCCCACATGATAAAATAAAATATACTCCAAAATCGTACTCCTCCGACTCTTATCAAACGACACACACAAACGGTTTTAGCAAAGGGACGGAATGCGTTGGAAGGAGAAACCCACAAAACCAGCTCATGGGTCCCCTTTTCCCAAGCCCTCGACCCTCGGCTCTTTCCAAAATAACAAATGCCGGGACCCTTTTAATTTTTCGGCTGCCATTTTCAAGAACCTTTTGCCTAAGAACAGAGTCCGTTCCCTTATTTTAAAAATAAAGCAATAAGAGGTTTAGGCCAATAGTACTTCGGGGATTTTTCTTTCAAATAGATTAATATTATGCAACTGGAAACAAAATGGCCGGAGGACCCTGTCTCCGGAATACTTCGTCCGTCCGACGGAAATCTGACAAAACCTGTAACTTTTTCACAAAGCACAAATGTGACCAAACAGAGGCCGAGTATAATGCCCTCTTCTAATCATTCGGACCAATTTAGGATTTTCTTTGACCCATCGCTTTATCTTCTGCCTTGTAGCAGTTTCTGAAAAACTCAACACGTTGCCTTCTGGCTTTTGTTCCATTTCCTCCTGAGCTTGCTCTTCCCGGAAGATGCCTCGCTTTCTTGAAACCATAAATAATAATAACAATAATACTGCTCCTGGCTTCAGGGCCCTGATATTTGGCCAGCTCCAAACATCTGCAGCGTGCAAACAGGAAGACAAGGCAACATTCCTGCAAAAATTAAAAAGCCTTGCCTTTTCCATTCCTTTGTTTTCCCAACCAGGAAATGCTATAGAATCATAGAGTTAGAAGAGACATCATAGGCCATCCAGTCTAACCCCCTTCTTCCATGCATGAAAAGCACAATCAAAGCCCCTTCAACAGGTGGCCATCCAGCCTTTGTTTCAAATGGACTCCAAAGTGGAGAGTACCACCGTTGAACAGCTCTTATGGCAAGAAGCTCAAGTGGAATATCTTTTCTTGCCATTTGAACCCATTGCTCTGAGTCCTAGTTTCCAGAACAGTAGAAAACAAGCCTGCTTACTTCTTCCTTATGAAATCATTTTACATATTTATACATGGCTCTCATGTCTCTTCTCAACCTTCTCTTTTGCAGGCTAAACAGACCCAGCTCTTTAAGCCGCTCCTCAGAGGGATTATTCATGGTCTCCAGACCTTTGATCCTTTTAGTCACCCTCCTCTGGACATTTTTCAGCTTAGAGTCAATATCTCTCTTAAAGCTTGGTGCCCAGAATTGGACACAATATTCCAAAACACAATATGTTCTATTTGCCAGCGGGGTGCACCCGGTTTTTGGCTCCCAGCGGCTTCTTCCTCCTGACCGCCGGTACAAGCAATGTCTGGGTCTTGCATGGAGCCAGCAAGAGGCCTTGGTCACTTCGGACAATCCTGAGGGGTGCAGGGCCACTGGTTGGGTGGGGAGCAGCAGAGAAATGGCTGCTGTTGGAGGGAAGTGGGCTGCTGTTTCCGCGGAGAGGCTGCGGGTGTGGCTTCGGCACCCGGTCAGTCTTCCGCCTCCCTTTGCGTTTGGTCTGCCAGGTCCGCATCCCTCCCAGCCGTGACTCCAGGCGGGCAACCTCCTCAGTGGTGGCATTGACCCTGTCAAAGCGGTCCAGAAGTGCCTCCAGGAGGCCGAGCAGGCGCTGGACCTCGGCGTCCACTTCACAGCTGCCGCGGGGGCTCGGCGCCAGGCTGAGGCCATCCAGTTGGACAGAGGAAGAGGAGGAGGAGGCCCGGGAAGTGTCTGAAGTGGCGCTGGGCGTGGGCACCAGCAGGGAGCGTGAGTCTTGGCTGGAGGAGGGTGAGGGCAGCGGCTCCATCCCCTCAAAGCGGACCTTGTGCCGAAACTGTGGGCAAAGGAGGAGGAGGAAAAGGTCAGTGTCAGGTACCAGAACACTGGATAGGCGGTCTGTTTCTTCTATTTTTGGTTCAGCCATGTAGCCAAAACACAAATGGTATTTGTTCGGATTCTGGGGAAGGAGGGAAGGAAAAAGGCACACAGGCAAGGAGAGGCCCTATGGGGCCTTGACCATAAATGCCTATGCATTTCCTAGGTGCCGATGGGTGTTTGTAGGAATCTGTGGATCTACCTAGGCACATAGGCAAGGAGGCCCTAGTGGACGTTAGCCATAATGGTCTATGGGGTTCATAGGCACAAAGAGGCCCTATGGGGACATGGGCCATGAAGAGTCTGTGGAGGCTCATGGTCGCATAGGCAAAGAGGCCCTATGGGGATGTTGGCCATATAGATCTATGAGGGTTTATAGACACATAGGCAAGGAGGCCCTATGGCAACATTGGCCATAGGAGTCTGTCAGTATTCATACATGTCTGTGGGAGTTCATAGGTGTCTATGGATCCACATAGGTACATAGGCAAGGAGACTAGACAGACAATACATTTGGTTCAACCTTGTTGCTGAGACGCAAATGGGACTTATCCAGATCCTGGGGAAGGAGGAAAGGAAAAAGGCAGCTTTAACTTTCTACTTGTTACTCGCTTTATTTCTAACCTTTAAATATTACACTTCTATATATATATATATTGAAAACTCTATGTGTGTGTGTGTGTGTGTGTGTGTTATTTTTTTAAAAAAACATTATTTTTAAAATCTGTCATACATGTATTCAAGTTCTACATGAGTATTTCTGCTGTGTTCAAAACAAAAGAAGGGAAGCACACCTCCTGAACATGGTGAACTTGGCTCTTCATACAAACAGAAGGATAGAAAAAGAAAGACATGGGGCTGTGCTTACCTCCTTGGCTTTGCTGAACCCCATCCATATCTTGAGCCGCCGGACAAAGAGCTCCACCATTTCATAGTCCTGGGACTCAAAGGCTGGGCGGTACATCTCAAAGCGGGTCTGGCAGTAATGGTGGATCAGGATGGCGGCAAAGAGGCGCCCCGCCACCCACAGCTCTAGGACCAGGAAGGTGGCGCAAAGGAGGTGGGAAAGGCCTAGGGCCCCTGGAAGATCAAGGCTCAGGGGGGCGCTGCTCCGGAGGGCGGCGAAAAGAAGCCAGAAGTACCTGGAGACACTGCAGAAGGCCTCTGATTGTGGAGAGAAGAGCTGCGGAGAAACAGACAGTGTCATGAAGACTGACCCCAAGCACCTTGGCCGAGGGCAACCAGACTCATGCAAGCCCAACCTCCTTTGCCCAGATCAGAGGTGTCAATCCCGTTTCCATGGAGGTCCACATTCTCCCTATTATGGTTGCCTTCAAACTGCCGTTGAATCCATGGACGGAGAATGTGTAGAGACAGAGAGAGAGAGCCAACTATGATTTTCTAAAGCAGTGATTGGTGCTCTTTTGTTCGTTCTTACCCAATTTACTAAGCAACAAATCCCACCCCTTCTCATTATCTGGGGAAGATGGGAATTGCAACCCAACAGCCCTTGTGGCTCTGAGGTCAGGGAAAGGTTGAAGGGCATTTTGAAGTCGGACATCCTATCCAAAAGCTTTGTATCTACATTCACACCCCAGTCTCCTGCTTAAAGAGAACAAACTCCAATCTTCTGGATGTTACTGTATCATAACTCCCATCAGCTCCAGTCATGATATCTAAGGATGAAGAATATGGGAATTGTAGACCAGCATCATGTCATAAAAAGACATGGAGGGCCACATTTGACCTGCAGGTTTCCAGTTGCACACATGTAGTCTCAAAGAAGAAACTCATTCTCTTCCCAAGCACCATGAAATAATTCACAGTAATTTTATATTTACTACCAAAATGATTCGTCCTTGAATTCCTAGTGATGCATAGAGGAGTCTCTGTGGTCAACATCCTCCAAAAATTTGGAGGCTTAGAGAGAATATTTCTTTAGGCATCTTTGTGTCCTCCACTTCAGAGCAATTTGTGCTTAAATGAAACTTTGTTCAGCAAGCACAACAAGCAGACCCAAGGCGATTGATTCTGTGGTTTGAATAAACCAAGAGGATCCAGGTTTGTTAGTTTCCCCTAAAAGTGACCCCAGATTTACCAGGAAGCCCAGCTGAGCATAAGCCGCAGTGAGGATTGCAAAGACCACTGCAGCGGCAAAGAGCTCCTTCATGGACCGCTGCAAAGTTTTGCCGAAGGTGGACCATTGCCGGATGAAGCGCAGCTGCTGGGAGACCTGTTGGGAAATAAAACTGAGAATGAAAGTCTGGTACAAAGGTCTGGTCTTCCTATCAATTGGAAGTTCCTCATACTAGAATGGCTTATGGTGCCCCATCATCCAACGTCAAGTGGTTGCAACGCGTGTCGATCACTTGCCGCAAGCAGAGACATCTGGTGCTAAATCTTGCTCTTTGGGGAACAATATGTTGCAACAATCTCCCTAGCATTTCCATTTTTTAATCAAAACTCCTCTGAAATGTGTTTTGATGATTAGCTGAAGAATTTACCTGGTGCCAGAGGTTGGTGGAAGTGATTTTGTTTATAATTGGAATGAAACTGATGTTCCAACTCTTAACAATTAACACCAAACTTTGCCAAAAACAAATCCCACAGATTATCAATTTGTTTCAAATTTGCACACCGTTTGGGATGCCCAACCAAAGCGTAAATCCAAATACATAAAAGGTTGACGCAGGCATCCTATTTAGCAATTGTGAGATTGTAAACTAGGTTTATAATCTCAATAACAGATGGAGATTCTCCTTTATGGTTGGGAACAACTGCAACTGACCCCAGTCTGGTACCATTCCAGTCTGGTACCGTTCCCTTTGGGGAATTCTGATGATATATAAATAAAGTTTTTTAAAAATATATTATTATTACAATTGTAGCAAACATGTACCACTCTAAGCTCCCCAAGTTTCAGAACGTTTCACTCATCCACAGGTTTTTAGGAATTTTTTTAAGTTTTGCTCTATTTTTTTAAAAAGCAAACCAAAAGAGATACCTCCTCAATTTTTCTATAGTGAGAGAAGAAGAGCAGTGCATCACTCCTGCTATCTTTCAAAAATATTTACTCACTCACTGATTTTTTGGGAATTTTAAAAGTTTTGCTCTAAAAACTTTAAGAAAGAACAAAAGAGGTACCTCCTGAAATTTTTCTGTAATGAGAGAAGAGGAGCAGGACAGCATTCCTGCCATCTTTTAGAAAGATCCACTCATCCACTGATTCTTAGGAAATTTTTAATATTTTCTCTCCTACTGAGAGGAGAAGGAGAAGAGACAGAGCTTGCAGGGGGGAAATAAACAAATGCAGATGCCATTCCCAGTCAGAGCAGGGAATCCTGGGTTTTGAAGTCCAAACTATAATTGACTGAGAAAGAGCATGTGATGCAGCTCCCTTGCCTTTCCCTTTTATCCCATGAAGTCTAAGTTTACTTTTAAAAAATCAATGAAATATTACTAAAATGTAATGATTTTTTTTTCCCCGGAATCCCAAGGGGACCATTTTGTTTGCTTTCAATTCAGAGAGGCTCAATTTTGAATCGTAAGTAGAGTTCATTAATACAAATTTATACGACCTACTAATTGCCTTCTGAAATGTTGCACACCCCAATGCTCTGTCTCAGTGAAAATGGAACAGCAGAACATTTTAAGGTTCAAAAAGTATTCATGACAGAGCCTGGCAGTCTGTTGCGGTCCAGGGCAATGTCCGTCCTTACCTTGACCGTCAGCAAGAAGAGAAGAGCGGCGGCCAGGCAGCCAAAGGCATCCTGGAGGGACGCCACCTCATAGAAGCTGGTGAAGGCCTCCTTGTCCTTCAGGTACTGGGCCCATTGCCGGTCAGCCAGAGAGGCCTGGCTGAGGTGGACCACCACGGCAGAGGCGGTGGCCAGGATGAGCAGCCACTGGCCGTAGCTGCTCAGGAGGGCAAAGTAGGCCCTGCCCAGCTTCTTGATGGAGAGGCACTCCGAGACCACCAGGTAGACCACCACCACCATCAGGATGACCTGGAAGAAAGGGGAGAAAGAGACTAAACCCGGCATAGTGGGGCGAATTATATTAGGGAGAGAGTTAGGGACAGCAACAGAGTCATGTAACATTGGCCCTTCAGAGAATCCTCACAGATCTGGACTCCAGCCCCATGAAAAGACTGTGTTGATTGTTGTGTGTGTGCAGAAGACCCATTTCTCGTCCACAAAAACAAGGGAATTTCTGCACAGATGACATTGTTTTCTGTATGGAAAAATTATTTTCTAAATGGACAATTTTTTTTCTGCAAAAAGAACATTAGAACATATGTGTTTCTTCTGATCATTATGCACCGATGTGCAAATAGTTCTTCAAAGGTCCGTACTTTCCAAAGACTTCCTCATACAGAGCAGAAACATGACACAATAATGTGTTTTTGCAGCACTACTTCAATCCATTTTGCATCAGATGCAGGAAACCGGACAACATGAAAATTAATGTGCTGTTGTTTGACTTGGTCCACACTGAAAAATAAAAGATGATTGCAGCCTGAAATTTGGGATGCATGGCTACCTTTGGCCCCACAACATAAAAGCACACTCAGGTTTGGAAAATTGCTACTGCAAGCATGGAATAACTACACAGTTTTCATATAGCAGTTCGAAAACATGTAAATGTGAGTAGATCAATAGGTACCGCTCCGGCGGGAAGGTAACGGCGCTCCATGCAGTCATGCCGGCCACATGACCTTGGAGGTGTCTACGGACAACGCTGGCTCTTCGGCTTTGAAATGGAGATGAGCACCACACCTCAGAGTCAGACATGACTGGACTTAATGTCAGGGGACTACCTACAGACTCACCATCATGAGGAGCTGCGTGGTGACGCCTTGGCTGAGCGGGAGCAGATGCAGAGGGGCCACGGCTACAGCCGGCATCACGTGTCCTACCATAGAGAACTCCAGCCGCAGAGTGATCACTGCATGCAGCCCCAGGCCTGGATTGAACTGGGTCAGCTCCACAAAGACTGCGCGGCTCCTGCAGAGGAGGAAGGTTGGGATACGTCATGCTAGGTAGTTTATGGCAAGGATGGGACTCACATACCCAATGGTGGATAAGGCCCCTAGCCTGAACCCCACTTATAAATATAAGGGCCATGAATGTAAAAAGTGACACTTTTCCCAAAGCGAGGTGTACTCCCGGTCTGTATGTTTCCCTTCTACCTCACAAGCCCCAAAGGGTTCTAGGGAATTGAAGCCTCAATGTGAGAAGATCCTGATGTCATGAATATAATGATGTTTGGTTTGAATGAAACTGTATGGAAGATCTATGTTTGGACCCTGGAGGTGCCATCTGAAGAAAAGAAGCATAAGATTTAGAAAGTTCTGAAAAGCTGCTCATGCACAGAAGATAACCCATAAGTGTGCCTTTCACAGACTCCACGAAGAAGAAATTAATGAACTGTAATTAAAAGTTGCTAATGAGAACTGCTGACATTGATGACAAGAGACAAATTAGTAACTTTTGGTGGAAAACAACATGTTTATATTACCAAATACAATGGCTCTTTAAGTTAAGAAGGAAGTAAACCATGCTCCTTAAGAAGGAAAACCAATGATCACTTAAGTAAGCAAAGTCAACATCTGTCCAGGAACTGATGGAGTCACTTGCCATTCGTTTACAAAGACAACTGGAACAACAGTAACAAATATTGCTATATAAGAGATACTTTACTATTCTAAAATTGTGGCAGACTGGAGGAGTCTGGTCGACCCACCAATCTTCTCCAAGGGACGGAGAGATATGCTCCCCATATCTGCGAAGGGCAGATTTGCTGGGAACGCAATCTGGCCTACGTTGAGGTCCCTTTTCCAGGAGAAGGAATAAGAGTTGGCAATGCATGCATCATGAGGATTGAATGTTTATATGTGTATGAATGCTGAGTAAAATGTAATTATCCTTTGTGTACCCTATGTAACTAGAGCCTTTGTGTTTACTTTCTTTCTCTGTGTCACTCTGTGGTATATTCTGTCTCACTGAGAACGAAATGAAAGAACCTTTTTAATGCTTTTCAAAATTTGAAAAGTATTCCCGACACTGAGAGCAGAAAATGGGCCTCCAGCAGTGAGTAAGAATTGTCACAGCCTGAGATATATCAGCCGGAATACAAACATACCGATTCCTCTAACAACAACAATCACTTACACATTGGGAGCCCCCATGGCGCAATGAGTTAAACCCTTGTGCCAGCAGGACTGAAGACCGAGAGGTTGCAGGTTCGAATCCAGGGAGAGCGCAGATGAGCTCCCTCTGTCAGCTCCAACTCCCCATGCAGGAACATGAGAGAAGCTTCCCACAAGGGTGGTAAAACATCAACCATCCAGGCACCCTTGCAGATGGCCAATTCTCTCACACCAGAAGCGACTTGCAGTTTCGCAAGTCGCTCCTGACACACACACACACACACACACAAAAACCTTACACATTGGAGATCCAGTTGTTTTGTTGGAGGTACTCCAGTCGGGCCTGGCTTTCCTCCATTGTCATCCCCAACTCTTGGACATACCCTCCACTGTCGTAGAAGGAAAGGTATCCCCAATACCAGCCTCTGGAAGGGAAGAGAGAGACCAGAGGTTACGTCTAGACCTGGGAATATTTCCATCTTCAATGGATCGGTTGTGCCAGCAGTGCCATTCATCTGCCTTCCAAATGTACTTAGTGACTTAGTTTGGAAAGGGGAATTCAGACTAGTGATGGGAAAGCCATATATAAATACATGGATGTCATTGTGGGATATTTAACTAGCTGGATGCCACATAGAAGACAGAACATGATTCTTCCCTAGAAACTTATAGATTCAAATTCCAAGTGAAATTAGGAAGAATTTCTAATGTTTTGGAGAGAGGAATAGGGTTTATTGTCGAAGGCTTTCATGGCTGGAATCACTAGGTTCTTGTGGGTTTTTTCGGGCTATAGGGCCATGTTCTAGAGGCATTTCTCCTGACGTTTCGCCTGCATCTATGGCAAGCATTCTCAGAGGTAGTCCTCAGAAATGCCTCTAGAACATGGCCCTATAGCCCGAAAAAACCCACAAGAACCTAGGAATAGGGTTCTCGCGAGTCCAGTGGAGCCTCTTTTTCTGGAGGTCTTTAAACAGAAGTTGGATGGCCGTCTTTCAAGCATGTTTTCATTCCATATTCCTGCATGACAGAATGGGGTTGGACTAAATAGCCCTTGGGGGTCCTTCCCAAATATAGAATTCTGTGATTCTAAGCACTCCTTGTCCTGCCTGACTTGAGTACATTTTGGCCCTCCCTTTCTCTGCTCCATAACTTTCACAACTTCTTTTTTTCTGGCTTGTCTCCTGTTTCAGGAAACTCTTAAAAATACCTTCCTAATGCTCCCAATATTTGAGAAAGCTCATTCCATCCAGGGGCAGCAGCACTGAACTGCTCTTAAGTACAAGCGTACCCTCGGCTTTTCTTCCGGGATTTGCATTCCTTATCAATTTGCTAAAGACAGAGCACTAGGGAAGGAAGTGCTTCTTTGGGGGGAATGCAACTCCTACTGATTGGCCCCTAAGCCTTGCTTCAGAATAAGAGGAATGGGGTGTCTCAGGAAACCAATGAGGCATTTCTTAGGAGGGAGGGAATAAGAGAAGCATCTCTCTGCATGTACACACATCCGGGTTGGCAAGATGGGTGCAAATGGTCCACGCTGGCACCACTAATCATGCCTTGTCCGGTGAGGAGGATGGCAGCTTACCCCGCAATATCAGGAGGAGAGTATTTCCATTGTTCCAAATGGTTACCCAGGCCCTTCTTCCACCCGACTGCATAGGTGGCGGTATCAAAGCCACCAGCAACAGAAACGCATTTTTCTTTGCGGTCAGAGGGGTTGTCCCCACCGAGGACATGCTGGACAGAGACTGGACAGTCCACTAAAGAAAAGGGAGAAAAATACAGAGCATTGATTTCTCCAGATAGGTGACATTCTAGCACTCTTTCCGACCTTTCAATAATCCCCACGGATGTTTTCCTAAGTTACACTTCTGCCCAGGAACATTAGGAGAAATGGGAGACACATAAGACCACTCTTTTGACCAATCTCAACACATTTCCTTTTTAAAAAGCATTTACCTGAATTGATTCGAGTTTAATGCACCATCGACTCTAATGTGCACCTCATTTTTCAAACCCTGAACCAAAGAAAAAAGTTTTTGGTGCCAAATGTAATGCGCATTGAGGTTGTAGTTTTACAAGATCTTGAGCCTTCTCTGCCAAAAAAGGCTGATGCTTCACTAAACTACAAATCCCAGGATCACATAGCATTGAAGCAGAACCAGTAAATTAAAGATGAGGAGCTTTTGGTGCAGCTCCTGAAGCAGCTTCCCCTTTAGCTCAAAACTAAGATTTCGGTATGATGCGAATCTAATGCGGAGACCAATTTGGTCAAAGTCATGCAGCCAAAACAAAAAAAAAAGTGAGCATTAGATTCAAGTAAATAGGGAATATTGCACCTTTGCCCAGTATTGAGACTTCAGGTATTTTTCAAAATATTTAGACTAACACATCTGCCTAATGCTTAAAACAGTGGGTTATGAAACTGACACCAGTGATTTTGGAATATAATCCGACAATGTATAGCATCAAAACCATTTAAAAGTCTAAGATAAACATCAACAAGATGGCAATGCACCATTGCAATCCAATGGGTTGGATTAAGGAACCTCAAAGCCACATTTTTGTAGAACAATGCAAAACTGCAAATGGCAACATGGCGCTACCAAAACAAATGCATGGAAAGGAAACCTGTCCTTGTCTTATTAGGTGATATTCACTAATGATGCGCCAAGAACGCAATAGGATGCATAGTCTTCTCTGCTGCCATAGAACCTGCAGCATACCTTCTTGCAAACGGACCTGCCGCAGCCGCACGGCTCCGAGGGTGGTGCTCTGGCCGGAGTGGCCGTTGTGCAAATAGGGCAGTAGCTTGTGCGACATCCACTCCCAGAACTCGCCAGGCCTAAGAGAGAGAGAAGGAGGAGAGGGTCAGTGCCCCCGGTTTACAAACATCCAACTTACAAACGACTTGTAGTTAAGAATGGGGGAGAACAGGAAGTGAGAGAAATCTACTCATTGGAAGGGAAATTCATTCCTGAAAGAGTTACTATCATGGGGAAAAAGGTATCTCCACTGAAGCTTCATCAATCCTTGTTTCCACGACAAGCCACATTTTTCAAAATCGACTTATCCAAGAGACAGAAAGTAAAGTGAAGTCTTCTAATAGGGGCTCAGACAGCAAAGGAAACACCACACGGGTGTTCACCCTGTCAGGTAGATAATGCTGTGTTAGGAAGAAATGCATGGTATGTAACTCCAGTGTGTGCAAAAATACAGTTCTAATGGACATGTGATCACAGCACATTCTTCTGAAGGGTTAAGCAAGTGGAGTTTTGGACCTAGAGAGACAAGCATGGCGAGAATTGTATCATTTCCTGTGGTCCCTACAAGGTATAAAAGGAAGTGGCAGACATGTGTGTGCTGTCTTGGAATGTGCAAGCTCTCTTGCCATGTGGATTTCTCGCCATGATATTTAGTCACCGTTCCTGTTGTGTTTTGAGTATATCTCTGTAAATACTGTTAGCAGACCTGATGTAAATAGTTGTACATATAGCAACGAGTGAAGAATAAAGCCTCCAAAAGAGTTGGGTGAAAGCCAGAGCTCAAGTGCCTTATTATGCCAACACTGTAAACTTCCCTGAGTCCCCTCTGGGATTGAGAAGGGCAGTATACAAATACTGCAAATGATTAATTCATTAATTAAAGCAGGGAGCAGCAAAGAAAGCCAGAGGCTATGCTGTAAATCTCTGATAACTACAAATAAAGACTCTGCAGTTTTTTGGTTTGAGGTACTGCAGCTTCTTGCCTTGAGACGATCAGTCCCATATGCAGCTCTGGGAGGACATGAGAGAGGGATATGATTCACATACCCAAGCAGCAGGTGTTTTGTTTGTTATCCTGCGATATATATATATATATATATATATATATATATATATATATACCTGTTCCGACAAACAAATTCAACTTAAAAATAAACCTACAGAACTGATCTTGTCCATAACTTGGGGACTGCCTGTACATTGAATGCAGGAGAAATACCTCTTAATGCTCAGGAACCATTCAGAATCTAGCTGCTGTTTGATGGACTTTTGCAGAAGGAAGGCCTGGCTGTGCTGAGAGGCATCTCCATAGTTGGTGAGGAGGATCGCCAGCAGGAAGAACATGTAGACCAGAAAGTTCTAGCAAAAAGGAAAACGAACAGGAGCTTTGAAATTGTACTTCATAATCTAGGCAAGGTTATGAAGCACACCGACTAGCTTTAAGACTGGAAAAGTCATTGAAGCTCCTTGTATTCACAACTTGGGATAGTGTTTGAAAAATATGTTATAACATATTTCTTTGATTCTAAAATGCCATTGATTGTAAGATATATCTGAATTTCAGTGCCAAGAACAAAATACATAAGACAATTTTAAGATATGCCTTATTTTTAGAAATGTTTATATAGGTGGAAAAGTGTATCTTAGAATCAAAGAAACACAATATTACTTTTTTCCTGTTATCATACACATAATGCAAATGAAAAGCATGACATAATGCAAATGAATGCAAATGAAAAGCATGACATTTGCCACTTCATGTTTCCCACTGCTTCTTTCGAAGTCGCAGAGTCCACCATAATTTTTGTGGCCGCTCTTGTTCAAGTTCAAGCCATATGAGATGTGCATTGCTTCTGCATGTGGCTCAAAGCCTTCTAGTAAACTATACCACTCTCTTTTTGCAATAACTCCTGTGTTTCCCAAACATACCAAGCAACAAATCCAGGTCATGCTGGATAATGACTGTAAACCTTCTAGCAACGAGGGAAAGGAATATTTCAAAACCATTAATGCTTGGTGCAAAAAGAACAGCGTTCGGTAGTTGCAGTGTCAACGATAACCCATCTCCCTCCCTCTCTCTCTGCCCGACTCACCTTGAGCAGGCTGTGTAGGAGTTTGACCTTCCTAGCCTCCTCCTTGGCCTGGAAGAGCGCAAAGCCCTGCGGTGGCCGGACCTTGCCAATCTTCTCCGAAACATGCTCCACAAAGGGATACTCCACCAAGGTGTCATCCTCCTCGGGGTAAAGGCGCTTGGCCACCAATGAGAAATACAGAGCCTCTGCCAGAACCTAGCATTGAAAGAGAGCAATTAAGATGCCATTGGCAACCCAAGATCGAGAAGGAGGGTGTAAGTTTGGGAGGCGAGGGGTTTTGGGAGATTTTTTCCCCCTGAATATTTTCAAGCCGGGGATGATACAATCTGCAGATACAGAAACCAGACCTACCTTGAGGGGTTCCCAGAGCAGAAAGGAGGCGAGGAAGCTAAAGATCCCTGAGAGGAGCCACATGAGAGCCACGCTGGAGGGGAAGCGCCCCCCAATCCAGATGGAGACTCCGGCACAGAGGAGGAGGAGGGCCGCGCAGGTGCCGTGCGCCAGGTGGGAGCACCAGAAGGGCAGGAGGCGCTTGCGGAGTGCATGGTCCACCACTACAGAAGGGAAGATGGCACCAGTGGGAGAATGGCAGAATGAGCAGAGAGAGTGCAAACCCAGGGCACGCATGCCCTTTTTGCTGCTGTCTTACATCATGCATGCATTGCAGACAAAGTTGCAAACCCAGAGCATGTATGCCCTCCTACATTTATGTTCTTGCTGCTGCTGTTATATATTATGCATAAACTGCAAAGTTTCAAACCCAGAGCGTATATGCACTCCTGCATTTATGTCCTTGCTGCTGCTTTCTTATGTTATGCATGTACTGCAATGTTGCAAGCTCAGAGCATGCATGCTCTCCTGCATTTACATCCTTGCTGCTGTTACGTTATGCATACACTGCAAACAGTTGCAAACTCAGAGCATGCGTGCACTCCTGCATTTATGTCCTTGCTGCTGCTTTCTTATGTTATGCATGTACTGCAATGTTGCAAGCTCAGAGCATGCATGCTCTCCTGCATTTACATCCTTGCTGCTGTTATGTTACGCATACACTGCAAACAGTTGCAAACTCAGAGCATGCATGCTCTCCTGCATTTATGTCCTTGCAGCGGCTGTCGTATGTTATGCATACACTGCAGACAAAGTTGCAAACACAGAGCATGCCTGCATTTATGTCCTTTCTAAGAGGACAGTGCATCATTGGCAGGGGGCAATTGCCAGAATATAAGCCGGATCCCTCCCCACTCGTTAATCTTGAATGAAGAACCAGTCACCTTCCGAATGCTGCTCAATAGTGGCCAGATTGAAGGAAAATTGATTCCAGCAACATTTGGAGAACCTAATTTTGTCCTATCTTGATGTCAACACACTCTAGAAAGCCTTCTCTTATCCACTACTGATATAGAAACATGCCAATGTATTTTTGCTCCCATCCAGACTCTTGCCCAGCAGTTATCCAACTTTGGTGCCCTAGAAGGACATCTTTTTTCTCCTCCTCAAACCTCTGCCCTCAAGGCTTGCTGAGTTGAAGCTTAACATCCCCTTGATGGTAAATAGCTCATTGAAATGTCCCTAAACTGCATCGGCTGAGGTACCTGTTCTTGTGGATTTGGCCGAACGGTTGAGCTCCCTTCCGGAGACAGCCATCCCTTTCTCATTCAGCCTTTGCAACAGGATTGTCTCTGTCTTCTCCCCAAGCATGTTGGATCTACCCAGGGAAATAAAGGCATCAACTATTTTGACTGCTTTGGACCTTCCTTAAGCAGACAGCAATAAGGTGTAATATGTATCTGCAGCCAAGGTTTTCAAGATATCACTATTTAGATCTCAGAACCAGAACTTCCAGTTCTCTACTTCCGACTAGAGTCAGTGGAAGAGACCAGGAAAAGTGTTTGCAAAGCCCTTCTGCAACCCAGAAAGTCGTTTTGCCCAGATTTGCTCCATACTTGTACAGAAAGGTGTCTGCTCCCTTCCCTGGATGTTTCCCTGCATCTTGGTTGGACTTACAGCCCACAGATGAGGTCTGTTTCCACCTTGGGGTGCTGCCCCACTTCCTGCGGGTGAGGAAGAGCACTGGTTCCATCTGCGAGAATTTGCCGGATCAGGTCCTCATCTGCCAAGAAACACATTCAGCAACATCAGCTGTATCCTGTTGCTGGTTCTCCTAGAAGGCTTTGCAAATAGTCACCGAACACACATAATAAGGCAGCTCTGTTATTGCCAATAAGTCGACTTTGAATCAGAGACACCCAGGTCTCCTTATCTCCAACAATTCTGCTCAGGTCTTGGAAAATGAAACTTCCAATTTTAGTTAAGTCTATTCTCCTACCTTACCAAGCATTGTTTCTTTCCTGGCATCTCCAAGACAATAATGCTTGGGAAGGTAGAGGGCTTCTGAGGTTCCAATTCAGTATAAAGACTATTGTTGAATTGCCATTCCTAATGATTCCAAAGACAGTAATGCTTTGCAAGGGAGGAGATCTGTCATTCAGCTTTATAACTGTTTCCAAGGGACTCCAAAGACAATAATGCTTGCCAAGGGAGAAGGTCTATTGAGGTTCTAATTCGGCAATGATTGCATTGTTGTCCTTCCTAGTGAATCCAATCATATTTGGAAAGGGTTAAGGTCTGCCAAGGATCTAATGCAGCACCAGGACAATTACTGCATTGTTGTTGTTTCTATAATGCTTGGCAAAACATAAGGTCAACCAAGGATCTACTTCAGTGTAAGGATAATGGTTGCATTGTTGTCTTTCTTAGTAACTCTAAAAGAAATAATGCTTTGCAAGGCAGAGGGTCTACCAAGTGTCTAATTCAGTATGATGACAATTACTGCATCATTGCTGCTCCTATAATGCTTGGCAGGGTAGAAAGTCTACCAAGGATCTAGTTCAGCTTCAGAACAACTGCTGCATCGTTGTCTTTCCTAGTTACTTCAAAGGCAATAATGTTTGGCAAGGTAGAAGGTCTACCAAGGATCTAATTCAGCTTCAGAACAACTGCTGCACCATTGTTGCTCCTATAATGCTTGGCAAGGCAGAAGCTCTACCAAGGATCTAATTCAGCATCAGGACAATTATTGCAGCATTATTCTCTTATAATGCTTGGCAAGGTACAAGGTCTACCAAGGGTCTAATTCAACATCAGGACAATTATTGCATTGTTGTTCTTATAATGCTTGGCAAGGGTCTACCAAGGGTCTAATTGAGCATCAGGACAATTATTGCATAGTTGTTGCTCCTATAATGCTTGGCAAGGTAGAAGGTCTACCAAAGGTCTAATTCAGGATCTTACTCAGTGTAAGGACAACTTCCCATCTGCAAAATGGAGGTAAGCATTTACTTATGCCCAACTGGGTGGTACGTTCCAACTCTCAACCATTCTTGTTTTCCTCACTCACCTGAAGCAGAGAAGGGCCTGGTGGGGGCCGGGGGAACTCCCAGGGAGACGCTGTCTTCCTCGGCTGCCAGTGGAGCCTCCAGGCCCAGATGGCGGCTGGTCCGGCCCCGCTTCAGCTTCTGGATAGTATTGCCCATGATGGAAGGGTCACTCAGCAGGTCCGGCCAGTTTAGGAGCCCCTCATTGGACTGCCAACGGGTCAGGCTGAGGCCAAATGGACGGACAAAGCAAGAAGAACCCAGCCACAAGTTAGCATTTAGTACCAAGCCATCAAAAAGGAATCAGCCAACAAACCTAACTACAGATCTTTTAAATAAATTCCAATAATAATAATTTTTAAATAATTTAAAATAAGTTCAAGAGATACAATAAATAATTTAATTAATAAATAATCCTACCCTCCTCCAAAAAAAGAACCAAACCAGAATGGTTGAAGCCAAGTACAATACTTATTATTATTATTATTATTATTATTAGTGCTACTACTACTCTTATAATATTATTACTATTGTTGTTATTACTATTACTATTTTTAAAAAGACCTTGGAGTCCTCGTGGGGAACAAGTTAAACATGAGCCAACAATGTGATGTGGTGCTAAAAAAGCCAATGGGATCTTACTCAGTGTAAGGCCTGCATAAATAGGAGAGTAGTGCCTAGATCCAGGAAAGTCATGCTATCCCTCTATTCTGCCTTGGTCAGACCACTTTACCTGGAATCACATTGTGCCCAATTCTGGGCACCGCAATTTAAGGGCGATGTTGACAAGCTGATAGGTGTCCAGAGCAGTGTGACTAAAAGTATCAAGGGTCTGGAGAACAAGCCTTATGAGGAGTGGCTTAAAGAGCTGAGCATGTTTAGCTTTCAGAAGAGAAGGCTGAGAGGAGGCATTATGAGGGCCATGGATAAAGATGTGAGAGGAAGTCACAGGGAGGAGGCAGCAAGCTTGTTTTCTGATGTCCTGGAGACTAGGACGCGGAAAATGGCTTCAAACTACAAGAAAGGAGATTCCACCTGAACATTAGGAAGAACTTCCTAACTGGAAAAGCTGTTCAGCAGTAGAAAGAACTCTCTGCCTCAGAGTGTGGTGGAGGCTCCTTCTTTGGAGGCATTAAAACAGCGGCTGGATGGCCATCTGTCGGGGGTGCTTTGAATGCGATTTTCCTGCTTCTTGGTAGAATGGGGTTGGACTGGATGGCCCACGAGGTCTCTTCCAGCTCTATGATTCTATTATAAGGTGGTTGTTGTTATTGTTGTTGTTGTTGTTGTTGTTGTTATTACTATTATTATTTACCTTTTTGAATCATCCAGGAACAGGTCAGTTTTGGTTTGCTCCGAAAAGGCCTAGAGAAGGAGAAAAAGCAAGACAGATGATGATGATGATGATGATGATGATGATGATGATAATTAGTAATAGTAGTACTATTATTATTATTTGTATTCCACTTTATATCTCTAAACAAAGAGACTCAAAGAGGCTCACAGTTGTTGACTTGGTCTCAACAATTTAAAAAGAGTAAATCGATACATCAGCAAGTAATCAGAAGTACATTATGGCTCTTGATGCAAGTTCCCTCCATCTTAATGGCCATCTCAGAGAAGGGCCACCATGGCTTACCTCTGTCCGAAGGCCAGGAAAGGTGAGGAAGGAACTTTCCAGAAGTGAAGAGTCCAGGTAGTTGTCAATCTCTAAGGACTGCTGGTCGGAGTGAAGCAGCGACTGGCTGATGGAGACCTGGAAAAGGGTGGGAAGTTTGGGGGGGAACATTGGACCCATCTCTGGTGTGTCTTTTAATGGTGTTTTATCTCTTGTTTTGATGATGCATCCCCCAGGGAGGAGCCCATCAATGGGTCATGACCACCATATTGGCCCATCATTTGCCTCAAAGAGCAATGAATTGTGGCTATAATATTAGTCAATGACTTGGCCCAAAAAGAAGCCCAACAGCAGGCCATGATCATCATATTAGCCCACCAGTTCCCCAAAGAGGAGCCCACTAATGGGATATGGCCACCATATTGCTGCATCGTTTACCTTAAAAGACCAATGGGTCATGGCTACCATATTGGCCAACAACTTGACCCAAAGAGAAACCCAACAGAAAGCCATGACCACTATACTGGCCCACCAGTTCCCCAAAGAGGAGCCCACCAATGGGTCATGACCACCATATTGGCCAAGATGGCTTTCCTTCAGTATTACTCAATGGTCAACCTCTGTCAAAAGAGAGGTGTTCTCTCTAGAAATGTCTAAGTCCTTGTGATTGGTTGATAAATAGTTCAGTTTATGTAAGCCACAAATGTCTGCCCCAACCCTTAGGAAGGTCTAGAGCAGGCTTGGGCAGACTTCGGTCCTCCAGGTGTTTTGGAGTTCAACTCCCACTGTTCCTAACAACATTTGACTGACCAACTTTGACTGACCAAACAGGACTGACACAACTGGCTGGGTGCATCCATACTATGGAATGAGTGTCATTTGACCCTTGGGACAGGCCTCTCGCCCCAGTTACCTTGCTGCGCGCCATCCGGAAGAGGAAGAGGAGGGCCAAGTACAGAGGGTAGACCACCAAACTGGACACTAAACCCACCACCGCCGTCTCGCCACTGACTGGGACCAAGGTGGAAATGGGAACATGGCTGAAGGAGAAAAGAACAAGGTGAAATGGTGGAAACTCAAGGCAGTCCCAAGATGTTTCGACTGGAATGAATGGTTATGATCTTTGATAAGGAAGGAAGGAAAGAAGATAGGAGACAAGTGTTCTGGGTATACCAGACTATGAGAAGTAAGCCTACCTGAAGTTGACGTCTCCAACGGTGCCGTACCAGACTGCATTGGCGCAGAGGAACAGGAAGATGAGGAGGCAGCAGCAGGAGGCCCGCTGGACCCGGGTGAAGCGGCTACGGGGCGGACGGTCCCACAAGGACAACCAGACATGCTTCTCAAAGAAACCCCGCTGTAGCTCCCCAATGAAGATCCGCAGGACACTCCGCAGCTCCATCTCACCTGCGGAGGAAGCAAAGAAGGAAGGCGGGGGGCGTCAGTCACTTTGCACCCTTGCATGGGGAAGGAAGGAACATCTCCACTGTAGAATGTAGGAAGCTTGTCCCCATGACTTAATTCTATGGGATCCTGGGAGTTGCAGTTTGGAGAGGCACCAGCCCTCTTTGGTAGAGAAGGCAAAAGACCTTCTATACCAGGCATGGGCAAACTTTGGCCCTCTGGGTGTTTTGGACTTCAACTCCCACAATTCCTAACAGCCAGTATTGGCTGTTAGGAATTGTGGGAGTTGAAATCCAAAACACCCGGTGGGCTGAAGTTTGCTCATGCCTGATGTAGATACACCCCAAGTCACACCAGTGGATTTCTGGCTGCAACTCACTGGCCGCAAAGACCTCCTTCTCCACCAAGCCATCGTTCTCCTCGCTCTCCACCGACAGCCAGTCGTCCACTAGGAAATGGTAAGCCTTGAGGGTCTGCAAGTCTCTGATGATGACATATTTCAAGAACCAGGAAGGGTTGAGCCCTGAAGAAAGAGAAGGAAGGAGAGTTTAGTCCTGGATGTAAAGTTCCCCGAAGGGAAAGTGCAACATTCAGGTCCAAGCCTCTCCTCTTTTCATAACGCCATGTAACAGATTTTGAAAAATGTTCTGTTCCTGGTTTGAAAGTATTATTTCCTCTTTAATTACATGGCCCTTACTTTGAAAGTAGTCATTCTACTCCAGAAACTTTGTTTTTGTGGCTGCCACAAACTATGTTGAATTGATGAGATATTCATTGAAAAACTAGAGCAAAGTGTGCTGCAGGATGTCCTGCAAGAACAATACCTTGGAACATGGCCATACAGCCCTGAAAACTCAAAGCAACCCAGTCATTCTGGCCATGATAGGCTTCGACAACACAAAGTTTTTGCAGCTGAATAAACTTTTCCTATGTTTTTATGCTAGAACCAATTAGAGAATGACATTTATAACCCAGGAACAAAAATCGTTTTACGTAGTGCAATTGTGTATATACTGTACATGCAGTAGTGAGTTATAAGCATCCGACATAGAAACAACTAGTTAAGAACAGAGTGAAACAACAGGAAGTGAGAAAAATTTGCCCCTCGGAAGGAAGGGAAAGCCACTTCTGAAAGAGTTATTATCACAGCCCTACAATGTAACCGATGCCCAGGTTGGCCGCACCTTTGTTGTCGTGCCAGATACGGATCTTCCAAAGGCTGCCCAGGCTGCGCTCGGTGGCCACCTGGAAGATGTCAAGGCCGTTGCGTCGGAAGGCGTTCTCCCCATCTAGGTGCCGGTGGCCAGACTTGCTGTCCATCCCATAGAGAGTGATGCCCACATGGGCTGTTGTGCCTGGAAAGAGAGGAGGAAGCAATGCCAAGGCAGAGGGCAACATAGTCAAATTCGAACCGGAGAGTTGCAAAAGCACATCTTTCTTCGCTGCAGCTCAACATTTGCAGAATTAAAATGCAGTTAAGGCTAGATCTACACTGCCATATAATGTATGCAGAATGTATATGAGACTAATACTGCGGTATAACCCAATTCAGTGTATTCCAAAACTGGCAGTGTAGAGCCAGCCTCGTTTAACCAAAATTCAAGCAACCAGCAAAAACACCAAAGAAATTTCATTTTATTGCATGATGCATTCACAAACTTTTTTTGTAATGAGTTACATTTGTTCTTGTTGCATTTCCATTCCTTTCCACAACTTTATTGCAATCTTAATATCAAGTCAATCCAGAGATTATGGCATGACATAGTATGGCATGGAGTATACATCAGGCCTATTTTTAATAGGAACTCTCAAGCAACCAGAAACGACCTTTACGCAGCATTGACCAATCTCCACTGGGGTCATGGGTTCACTGAGAGTCTGCCCCAAGCATGGGCAAACTTTGGCCCTCTAGGGGTTTTGGACTTCAACTCCCACAATTCCTAACAGCCCATCAGCTCTTAGGAATTGTGGGAGTTAAAGTCCAAAACACTTGGAGGGCCAAAGTTTGCCCATGCCTGGTCTACCCATTAGTAGGTTTAATTAATATCACATTGAATCCACATTTGCAGATTTATATCTCTAGGAATCTGTTGATCCTCCAGTATTTTTCATTTTGCGTGTTGCCAGATGTGCAATAAAGAAGGAAAGCATCTTCTGTCGTAAGGCTATTTTCTGCAAAACATTTTTTCTCCTGGGAATTCTGTTTTGCAGACAATATACAGACTGCAGAAAATGCTGTGAATTTCCTTTTCCCTGCAGATTATTAAGCCTCAAATTGCAAAATTGCAGTTTTCGGAAGACTTTCTCAATAAGGTGTTATGATTATTTTGGATCGTGCTTGCTCACCTGAGCCCTTGCCCCATCCGGTTTTTACCAGGATCTCATATTTGTAGAGCCCGTTCTTGCCGCAGAAAGGAATCACGCCGACGCGGTTGATGTCGATCAGGTCCAGCTTGTGCACAATCACCGCTGCCACGAAGTAGGTCACCAAACATACGGCACAAGTCAGCAGGACGATGTAGTTGAAGCCGGGGCCAGGAGGCTGAGTGAAAGGAACAGCGGCACTTTTGCACTCTTGGGGGACGCACTTTGCACTCCTGGGGGACGCACTTTTTATTTGCAAAAAGGATCCCAAAGACCATGTGCTGGGTGCATCTACACTGCGGAATTAATGCAGCTTGGTACCACTTAAACCAACATGGGTCAGGGCTACGGAATCCTGGGAAGTCTAGTTTTTATAATTCCACAGGATTGAGCCAGGGCAGTTAAAGTGGTGTTAAACTGCATTTCTTTTACAGTGTAGATCAGGCATGGGCAAACTTTGGCCTTCTAGAAATCTTAAGACTTCAACTCTGCTGAAGTCTAAGACACCTAGACTTCAACTCTTACCAGCTGTTAGAAATGATGGGAATTGAAGTCCAAAACACCTGAAGGCCAAAGTTTGCCCATACCTGGTGCAGACAATGCATTTTTGTACCGAAATACCCATCCTCCTTGTGAGGGCAGCGGAGACCCCCAGTGTTGGGCAATAACACCTGCACTCACCGGCCGGAGGAACTGGAGGGAATGCGAGGGCACGAAGAGGCTGGCCCCAAAGGCGGTCAAGTGGCGGGTCAAGCAGAGGGCCCTTTCCGGGGTGGTCCCCTCCAGAGGCACCAGGCCCTCCGTCTTCCAGCGGATCTCCTCCGGGCTGAAATACTGGCACAGTGACCCATACAGGCCCAATGTCACCTCCACCGGGGACCACAGGAAGTGGTTGGTGATGTTGAAGAAGTACTCCCTTTCGGTCTCCTCTGTCCTGGAAGGAGAATCAGGTGGTCAGAAACGGAGGGTGAGAGAAAGGGAGAGGCAGGTGACCAAGGGGGATGGGACAGAGTCGCAATCCCAGCCCAGCCAATGTAGGAGAATGACACAAGCTACTATTGCTCTTTGCATTTAGCCAGTTCCAAGTTACAAACAAGATCGGTTCTATAGGTTTGTTTTTAAGTTGAGTTTGTATGTAAGTCGGAACAGGGACATTTTTAAAGTGTAACTCCATCTATCTATCTATCTATCTATCTATCTATCTGTGCTTTACATACCATAGGGAAGAATTAATACCCCTGTGGTGTTTGTTTTGCTGTCTGTGCCCCTGTTCAGAAGATTATTCCACCTCACTTTGGACTTACAAGGGGGAGACAAAGAAGGTGTACTGCCGGTGGTCACCCTCAGGCCTGCGGTTCATGTCCTCCAAGTAGATCTCCTTGGTGTCGGTGCAGTTTGGCGCAACACCAGGCTTGGGCACCGGGAAGAAGCAGACGCCGATGGATGGCTGCTGCTCACTGGAGACATAGCGCTCTGATCAAAGGGAGGAAGAGGAGGAGAGGAGAGAGGCTGCTTATCTGTGCATCAGCACACTGTAATAACACAGGTATATACAGTACGTTGCTCTGATTGATTCAAATGGAAACTAATTATTATTACGAGGGTTATCCGGAAAGGAAGGTTACAAGATTTTTTTAAAAATATCAAGAATTAATATATTTTAATAAAATTTTCATGGATTGTAGCATAGGTATTACATTATTTTTCCACATCACCATTCAATTCAATAGGTTTTGTCATCTGTGGGACGGGTTTTTGATGCTTGTGTCATAGAAGCTTCCCTCTGCCTTTTTCAGCCAGTTCGTCACTTCGATTTTCACCTCGTCATCATCGGAATAGTGTTTTCCACCAAGGTGTTCTTTCAATTTAGTGAAAACCGGGCTGTGGCGCACCCAGCTGGGAGCTAGCTGCATTAAATCACAACTGACTGAGAGGTCATGAGTTCAGAGCCAGCCTGGGTTGGAGTGAACTTCCGGACATTAGTTTAGCTTGCTGTCGACCTATGCAGCCCGATAGACTGTTGCATCTATCAAGTAGGAAATGTAGGTACCGCTTTATGCGGGGAGGCTAATTTAACTAATTTACGATGCCATAAAACCTTCCAGCAGCATGTAGAAGAATGAGGAAGTACTCCATCAAAGGACTCAGTGTCACAATGGACAGCGAAGCAGCAGCTCCCCCTGTGGCCGGAATCAAGCAGGAATTGAGCATACCCTCATGAAGCCTGAAAAGCTTGGGCACAGCTGGAATATATATGTTGTATATCTAACTGGCATTGAATGCTTGCCATGTATATGTGCATTGTAATCCGCCCTGAGTCCCCTGCAGGGTGAGAAGGGTGGAAAATAAATACTGTAAATAAATAAATAGTCACTGGGTGAGAGATTCGAGCTATGAGAGGGGTGGCTGAAAACATCCCAACCAAATGAAGTCAACAACTCTTGTGTTGTATGAGCCATGTGCGGATGTGTATTGTCATGAAGGAGACAGACTCTACGAAGTTTCTTCATGGTCTCACAATATATTCCATACCCATTTTTGTCACATGCTGTCTTGACATTACGACCTCTCCATAAAATGAAATGATTTTGTGATGAATCGCAGCAGTGTTCATGGCCTTAGTATTTAGGTAGTGTATTACAGTGAGAACTTTGCACTTGGAGGGAAATGGAATGAGGATGCTCATCTCTAAACTTCACCACAATGCCAGTCGGTGAGCTACTGACGACTGGCACTGCTTGTTTGCTTCCACTGGCTTCCCACTACATGGCAGTGATACCAACTTCTCCCGAGAAATTACCCATGAGAGCTACGTGCCTTGTAACCTTACTTTCCGAATAACCCTCATATTATGCGTACTTATTATTATCAAAAGGGAATCACTGGCCACTCAATCAACAGCCAATTAGTACATCAACACTGACTGTATAGACTCATGTATAAGTCTAGAATAGGCATGGGCAAATTTCGTCCCTCCAGATGTTTTGGACATCAACTCCCACAATTCCCACCTCAGCCACTTAAAAGGAAGGGACCTGAGGCTGTTAGGAATTGTCCGAGTTGAAATCCAAAACACTTGGAGGGCTCATGTTTGCCCATGCGTAGTCTAGACCTATACATGGATCATATTGAGACCCATAATTTTGGACCCCGAAACCTATCCTCAACTTATACAGGAGTATACTTTCCTTTGGGAGAGATAAAGCAGGGTATAAATAAACATAATAATAATAAGATTACACAATAAGTTGATTCCATTGATTCAATGGATCTACTCAAATGGAGACTAAAAAAGGGGAGATGGGCTCAGGGCATTCAATCAATGGCTAATTGGTAAGTCAATACTTACTAATCCATGGTTCATATCAGCATCCATAATTTAGTCCACCAAATTTATATATGCATACAGATAGTCCCCAAGTTACGAACAAGGTTCTGTAGGTTTGTTCTTAAGTTGAATTTGTATGCAAAACAGGAATGTATTTTAAGTGTAACTTGGAGATGTGTACCTACCATTGATTACGCTGAAGGTGACCTGGAAGTAGAGCCCAGCCTCGGGATCTCTGCTCTCGACCCTCAGGGCTGCGCTCACCGAACCCGCTTCCTCAATGATGACGGTCCCGGCAATGATGTCCTTCTCCCGAGGGTCAGCCACCATGACGGTGATGGCCTTCTCCGGCTCCAAGGCGCCCACTGGGATCTCGGTCCCGTTGTGGCTCTGGAACTCCAAGGAGGCCACCTCCGAGGAAACGCTGTGGTTGGCCACAAAGCCAAAGGGGAAGGGGTTGTAGTCCACACGGATCATGACCTGGACCACATCCGAGAGGTCGGAGAAGGTGGAGTTGAAGGCCGGCGGGAGGGAGAACTGGCACTCGGGGTCATCCTGGTCATAGCACAGCAGGCCCAGCGGGTCGGCCCGCTTCCCAGTGGCGGTGATGTTGGTGCCGGCCAGTGCCAGGGGCTCCTCATTCAGCACCCGGGACCTCATCAGGATGCGCATCAGGTCAGAGGAGAGCGCGTAGGCTTTGGAGGCCACCTCTACAGGGCTCTGGCCACTGCATAGCTCCTGAGGGGCTGGCTCCCGAGAGGCTGTGTTGACCAAGTGGATCAGGTCCCCTGGAAAGGCAAGCGGGAAAGGCCGTGGTCAAGGCTGCACCAGCAATGCAAACGAAAGAGTCATAGAAATGTAGAGTGGGAAGAGACCACCAAAGGACATCCAGTCCAGCCCCATTCTGCCAAGCAGGAAGGCATCATTCCAATCCCTTCCAAGAGATGGCCATCTAGCCTCTGACTCACAGAATCACAGAGTTAGAAGGGACCCTCATTCTTCCTTCATGGAGGAATGTCACAATCAAAGCACTCCTGATAGATGGCCATCCAACTTTATGGACATTAGCGGGTTATAGAGTAATACAATATCAGTCCAGCCCAATTCTGCCATCAAACCACTCCTGACAGATGGCCATCCAGCTTCTGCATAAAAGCCTCAAAAGAATGAGCCTTCAATGGACTCTGAGGCAGAGAGTTTCACTGTTGAACAGCTTTTATGGTCAGGAAGTTCTTCCTAATAATCTCCTTTCCGGTCACCTGAACTCATGGGTTCATTGCGTCATAGTTTCCAGGGCAGCAGAGAACAATCCTGCTCCCTCTCCTTTAAACATCCTTTCAGAGATTGAGACATCGTTCTCATGTCTCCTTCTCTGGGTATGTTGAGGTAATATCCCACCCATGGGGACCCAACACGAGCAAGACATGCTCAGAAGAGGGCTGCTTTGGCTTTCCTCCAAGGCCGAGAGAGTGTATCCTCCCCAGGACTCACCCATGATGTTGAGGATGTTGTCGGCAATGGCGGTGGGTGTCATGGTGCCCTGTGTGGTCTCCCCCTGCAGGATGTGCATCATGCTCTCCAGCTTCTCCAAGGTCTTCGTCAGGCAGTCCCGGCACACAAAAGCCTTGTTGGCGACCTGCACAAAGTAAAGCAAAGCAAAGCAAAGCAAGCTGATCAACAAGGGCCCTAGACCAGAGCTTCTTCATGTGACCCCAGGTATATAAAATGTGTATAACATTCAAACTTTGATCAATAACAAATCAGCAATAACAAGGCTTGCTAAACGGGCTGATTTCCTCTTTGATGGAATACAACTGAAGCATTTTCTGCAAGGTCCACCGCAAACGCTATGTAACAGATTCGTGTCAATGCCTTAAATAGACAATAGGTGCATTCAGAAACGTTTCAGTTGCAAAATTTTTCAGGACCCTGACATTGAGCCAAGAGGACTCCATTTGGGGTTGGGACCCACAGTTTAAGGAGCAGTGCCCTAGATTTCTCATTTCTTGAACTGTTATTGTTATTGTCATCATCCTTATCTTGCCTCTTCCAGAGTATGGGACTCCACAGTTAAGACATACATAAAGTAGCCACTACACATTTGAATGTCAGATTCTTGCAAATATGTTTAGTCACAGACTTTATTAATATGTTCTGTTTGGAAGTCTCTAGGTTCTGCAACGAGACTCCATGGTTAATAGATGTTCTCTATAGGAATGTCAAGGTCTTCTAATGAAATTCATTCCATTCATGGTGGAGGACTTAGAGATTTCTAAGCAGAAGACTTTTCCAAGAGTCTCTATATCTTCCGACACAATTCTATGGTCAGCTATTGAAAGAGGCTGCTAAGAAACAAAAGGGAAGCACAAGAATGACTGAAGCCCCGCAAACAGGTTTCTGTTTAAGTCAACAGGACCAAGGATCCAAGTCCCTGCCTCGATCCCCAAAGGGCCTACCGTGCACTGGGCCAGGACTGCGGCAATTTGCTGGATGTCGTCCACTGTGTTGACGTTCAAGGAGACCAGCGTCTCTGTAATGTTCCTCCGCATCCAGGCCCGGAGCCGGTCATCACCCTCAACCTCTGGTTGGGAATGCATGGAGCCCTCATACTTCAGTCGGGAAGGGGGAAACACAGAAATCCTGATATTATTTCAAGTGCTTGAGAAGCCAAAGGCCAACCGTGGCCAGGGAGAGGCTGGGCGGCCGCTTCCTACCTCGTTCAAGATGGTGATGAGGGCCAAGGTGAACTCAATGACCTGCTGGGGGTCTCCCTGCTTCACCAGGCCCTGCAGAACCACCTTGGTTTGGTTGGAAAGCCACTGCGGGAGGGTGCCAAAGCCCTCAGGGACGATGGGCAGTGTGATGGCCATGGAGCTGGAAAGAAAGCAATCCATCAGAGCTCTGTTTGCAGCAACACACACTCCTTGCATGGAGAAAAAGAGCACCATGGTAACCCTCACCCCGATACACTGGGAACTGATCGATCTATCCATCTATCTTTGTTCAAACACAAGACAGCATAAAGATCCTTTCATTCCCTCCAGAGTCCAGCAAGAGGTGGACAGAAGAACAATTGAAGGATGAATTTGCCATCCTCTCCAGATGCCTTACACAAGAGTCAGCATTAGGGACTCAAAGTTAGGGTACTTTTTCTTTTGCTTATCTACTCTTTTGTCTGAGGTGTTACCTGAGCTTTATCTCTTTTTAAAGTATCCCGTTTCCTTAACGTAATATGTAGCACTGGTTATGCTGCACTCTGCTCTGCTATAGATACCCAAATAGTTCTATAGGGTTATGGGCCCAGCACTCTGCTCTGCTATAGATGCAAAATATGGCTATAACTGGAAAGCTTGCAAAATTATGTGGGAAGGAAGCCCCTCACCTGTTGAAGGCCACAACGGTAGCGCCAAGCTGGTCCTGGACCAAGACGGAGACCGAGACTGAAGCACCGTTCTCTTGGAAGCCGGGTGGCAGGAAAGCGGCGTGTTCGGCGTGGCTCCCTTTGTAGACCCAGAACTCCTCGCAGTGCCCAGTCCGGCATCGTGTGGCCAGCAGGACGTACACCAAGGGCGTGCCCTCATTCTCTGTGTCCCGCCATCCTTCCGGGCAAAGAAAGACATGCTCTGTTAGGGACATTCACCTTTGCAAAGGCGAACCCAAATTCCGCTGTATCCCTTCCCCAACTGCAGGCCCAATCCGTCTCTCAAAACTAGCCTCGCTTTTGAAAAAGACAGTATGTAGAAATGATACACTGTCATTGCCAGGGAGAAGGTAATAAATGTATATCATTATTATTAGTATCATCACCATCATCACCATCATCATCATCATCATCATCATCATCATTGCACCCCTATATCCCCAGTCCAAGTGGAGGCTCAATCCATTACTCAAAACTATTCTCACTTTTGAAAAAAGGATAACCTTATTGAAAAAGACAGTGTGGGAAATGTCATCGTCAGAAGGCATGTAATAAATGTTTACGCTTTAAAGCAATTTAAATCCTGTGGCTAGCTCTTGTAGAACTTTGGGATGTGTAGTTTAGCAAGGACCTCTTTAAAAGCCCCTCCTTAAATGGGAAGTCCTGCAATTCCACAACAGGCAACTATAGGATTTAAAGTGGGAAAGCAGCATGGTGACAGTGTCGTGTGACAATCTACTCAAAAGCATACAACAGTTCCAAATTACACAGTTGGCTGGCTGACCTGTGCACTCGAAGTGGACTTTGGCAGCCAGAGCCTGGAGGGGCCCCATGGGGGACAGCCAGCAAGACCCTCCGAAGGGAGGCTGGTTGGGAAGGAGGTCCATGGAGGCAAAGCCCTCCTCGCCGGAGGTCACGTCGGTGATGCGGAGTGTGAAGGTGTAGCCCTCGCCATCCTTGAGAGCCCAGGGACGCAGCACCAGGTTCATGCCCACATCGCCCGTGGAGGTGGTGCTCCGGTCCAAGGGCAGCGTCTTGTTCTTGAAGCTGTGGGCTGCCCACTTCTGCAAGGAGATGAGGAAGGGAAGCCCAAGACAACACTATGTAACTTAATTTTTGTACCTGGGTTACAAAAGCCATTTCCTAATTGGTCCAATCATAAAAACATGGGAAACGTATATTAAATTGCAAAAGACAAAGTTTCTGGAGTATGATGTCAACTTTCAAAGTAAGGACCGCATAATGAAACAGGAAGTAATACTTTCAAACCGGGAACATAGTTTGTTACATAGTTTTGCTTCTCTACAGAAATGCCGAGTGGCCCCTTACCCCCATTTTGGAGTTGTTCTGGCAATTGAGGCAGGTGCCCTCCAAGTAGACGTAGGAGCTGCGGCTGACCGCATAGACAGACTGGGCTTTGCAGGAGACACACTCCAAGGACACGATGGGAACTGTGCCTCTCTTCAGGAAGACCTGGAAGGGAGAAGGGAGAAATCATTCAGATCCAAGGAGCAAATCTTCCATCGTTGCATACTCATCCATTTCCGTTGCATTCTCCTTGATACAAGGACCCAAAGAGTTCAAGCTGGGTCTCCCTTATCCAAAATCCTTGAAACCAGATTTTTTAAAATCCCACTTTGGAATATTTGCATCTATAGAATGAGATATTACTTCAGCCTTGGAACCCTTTATCTGAAATGCTTGGAACCAGAAGTATTTTAGATCTTTCCAGATGTTGGAATTTTTGCATCGGCATAATAAGCTATCTTGAAGAAACATATGCTTCTTATATTTGCACAATGTTATAAATCATCTCATGCATGAAACAAATATTGTGCACACTAAACTATCAGGAAGCAAAGGGTGAATCCACACTGTAGAATTAGTGCACTTTGGTAGCACTTGAACGCCATACTTTGCAAACTTGGAATGTGTAGCTTGGCGAGACACAGTACTCTTGGACAGAGATGACGAAAGACCTTGCAAAGCGATAACTCCCAGGATTCCATAGCACTGAGCCACAACAGTTCAAGTGAGGCTAAACTGCATTAACTCCACAATGTAGATGTGCCCAATGTGTGTATGGGAAAAAAACACATATATTTCCCTGCAAAGCAATTCCCTAAATACTTTGAGAAGTAATCATAATATTTTTAAAAACCGACTAAACTCTCATTGTGGGCCAGAAGTCCTTCATGTCAAGAAGTTTTATTATTACAAAATGATTTTGCATGTGCATGCAAAGTTTGGTAATGTATTCCCTGGGCATACAGGGATCATAGTGTTGAATTGTATCATAATGTTTATATTATTGTTATCATTATCATTATTATTAATTTTATTATTATTAATATCCCACTTCCTTCTTTCTTCTTATTTATACCCCTCCTTCCTCATCATGTTGTTGTTGTTGTTATTATTTCCTGATTTTGTCATTATTATTATTATTATTATTATTATTTTCATCCCACTTTCCTCATCCTTATTATTACCCCACTTTCCTCATAATATATATTATTATTTATTCTTCCCCACGTTCCCCATTATCATGTTTGTTATTATTCCGCACTCTCCTCATTATCATATTTTATTATTTATACCCACTTTCCTCATCATGTTTATTATTGTCATTATTAATAATAATATCCTACCTTCCTCATCATTATTTATACTACACTTCCCTCATGTTTTATTATTATTATTATTATTATTATTATTATTATTATTATTATCATCCCACTTTCCTCATCCTTATTATTTATACCCCACTTTCCTCATCATCATGTTTATTATTATTTATGCACCACTTTCTTCATCATGTTTATTATTATTATTATTATTATTATTATTATTATTATTATTATTATTATTAACGACCATTACACAGTAACCATTCCCAATTACTTCCCAATGATGCTGCAGCAACAGTGGCAAAATTCCCTTGAAAACCCATCCCATTCTTCCCTAAGAAGAATTATTTTGGAGGAGCAACGAAGGTGCCGTATGACGTGGCAGGGAGTTAAAAGGGACATATATATCTGTCTGCTCCAGACTTTTGCAAATTCCCAGCCGCAGTGAAATCCTCACTTGGCGTTCCTGCCTGCAAAGCTAGATAGTACGGAATGTCCTTGAAAGACTATCAATTTGACTCGGGGTTCTTTTCTTTCTTCTTCTGCTTTCTTCCCCACCCTTTTCCTTCCAGCCACCCGTTTCCAAAAAAAGGGAAAGAAGAAGGAGAAGAAAAAAGATCAAGGCGGTCAGAGTTTCCACTTGCAGACAATCTGGGCCTCTGCCGCTGCCAAGTGTCTCCTGGAGCAACGGCTGGTGATGGAAACCAGAAGGTTCCTTGGCTGCGGGTTTGTTTTCAGGCTCATGAAAAGGCGTTTTCATGGAACGAAGGAGGGGGAGAAAAAATGAAAGAAAGGCTGGGAAAGGAAAGGAAGAAGAAGGGGAAAGCCGCCTATGGGAAGAATTCAACCTCTATACTGTTGGGGGGGTGGGTACAGCTAGACTGAAGATTTAACCCAGTTTGATATCCTTTTAACCACCATGGCTCAATTCTATGGAATCATAGATGTTGAGGTTTGGTGAGATATTGGGTGCATCTACACTGACAAATTTGTGCAGTTTTGTTCCACTTTTAACTGCAACGGCAGGATGCGATGGGATCCTGGGAGTTGTAGTTTGGTGAGGTATTGGGTACATCTACACTGATTCAGTTAATCCAATTTGACTCCACTTTATCTGCTATGGAGTCCTGGGAGTTGTAGTTTGGTGAGATTCTTGGTGCATCTACATTGCCAAATGAAATTTGACTCCACTTTAACTGCAATGGGATTCTGGGAGCTGTAGTTTGGTGAAATACTGGGTCCATCCACACTGCAATGGGATTCTGGGAGTTGTCATTTGGAGAGATATGGGGTGCATCTACACTGATTTAATTAGTGCAGTTTTGTTCCACTTTAACCACCATGGCTGAATGCGATGGGATTCTGGGAGTTGTACTTTGGTGAGATATTGGGTGCATCTACACTGCAATGGGATTCTGGGAGTTGTAGTTTGGTGAGATATTGGGTGCACCTACACTGATTTAATTAGTGCAGTTTTGTTCCACTTTTAACTGCTGTGGAGTCCTGGGGCTTAATAGTTTGGTAAATCTATCCCTGTGGGATGTATAGTTTGACCCGACTTTTACTGCTGTGATGCAAAGCTATGGGATCCTGAGAGTTCTAGTTTGGTGAGGCCCCAACTTTTTTTGTAGAGGCTTTTGACAGAGGAAGCAACAAAAAAACAAACCATTGTAAAACTACAACTCCCAGAATTCCATAGGACTGTGCCATGGCAGTTAAAGTGGGGTCAAACTCTTGTGGAAAACTATGCATCCATATTTATATCTCCATCCTGCAGGATGATAAAGAAAGATGTTCATTGGAAGCTTGAAATTATAAAAAAATATATAGATTAAAGTTAACCATAGTAACATTTGTATTACATGCAGAATACTAATATGATGAAGGATAATATTAAGAGTAAAATATATGGATCATATTAAAATAATCATAGAATCTTAAGAGTTGGAAGGCAATCCCAAAGGCCATCCAGTCCAACCCAGTTCTGCCATGACACTATCCAATCCTTCCTGGCAGATGGCCATGCAGCCTTTGCTTAAGAACCTCGAAAGAAGAATCCTAATGAGAAGGGCTCCTGCCTTTTGATTAATGGTCGGCTCTATTTTTGTCAATAGCATGAATTAAATGTTTTAAAATACTTAATTGCACTATGGTTAACCGCTTGGCATATTATTCAGAAACAATCTAAATTAGGCTTCATGCCTGTCTCCTATTTGTACTATTACATTGTAAACAAGTCATTTCATTTGGACTTCCCAACAATACACAACACGCTCTCCTGCCAACATTGATCGGTTATGACTTGTTGCTTAGTTTGATTAATTTTTTGCCCCTTAACAAGAACAATATATAATAATGGCAACTAAAAGCAGCCTCAAGGGATGCATCTACATGGGAGAATGAATTCAGTTTGGTACCACTTTTAGCTGCCATTGCTCAAAGCTATGGAATCCTGGGAGTAGTAGCTTCACAAGGCCTTTAGCCTTCCCTCACCAAACTATAACTCCCAGGATCCCATAGCATTGAGCCTTGGGAGTCAAAGTGATGCCAAACTGCATTCATTCTGTGGTGTAGATGCAGCCTTTTTACTCCTCAGATTAAAAATAGTTTGGTTTGTCAAATGAGAAGAGTATCAAAGGGATCAATTGACAGTGACATGTTTGTTTCCATTAAATCATAGAATTGGAAGGGATCACAAAGGCCATCCAGTCCAACCCCCTGCCAGGAAGGAACGATGATATATACACAATTTTTGATATATACAAAATTTGAGGCCACATCATTTGAAGCACGTTTGAGCTTTAACAACTCATTTTAACTACTGGCAACTGGAGCAGGGACATTCCTAAATGTTTTGGTCTGGAGAGATTAATGCATAGATCTGGCGATTGAGTTGAATTGTTTATGTTTGAACCTACTGAGATTGAATGGACATATCCATCACACAACTGAGTTAATGTAGTCAGGGTTTTGTTTTGGGGAAAAGGAGAGAGGAGGCACTACGATACAAACCGTTTGGTTGGTAGACTCGGGGCTCATCGCCGCCTTCCAGACGGAGAGGGCGAAGGTATACTCCACATCTGCTTCCAATATGGCTCTGGAAACGGTCACCACGCTTCCCCTGGCGCTGAAGTCAAGCGCACACTTGGACGACGGGCTCTGCATTGAGGAGGAAGGAGGAAAAAAGGGGGAACGAGGGAGAGAAAAAGAGACTGCATTCAAAGCCAGTCTCAAGAGAACCCGTTCCCTCCAGGACACCTGTTTTGGACTTCAACTTCCATACTAGCTGTTATGAATTGCGGGAGTTGAAGTCCAAAATACCTGGAGAGCCGAAGTTTGCCCATGACTTCTCTCAATCCCCAAAGGAAACCCAAAGGCCCACTTACTTTGGAGGACGACACGCAGGACCAGCTGTACTGCAGCGGCGTCTGTTCTCCGTCCTCCAAGTTGGGGTCATAGGACTTCCCTCCGTCCAGAACCAAGTCCTGGGTGCTGGACCACACGCGGTAGGAGCCCCCTTCAATGATGGGCACCAGCTTGTTGGGCAGGATAGTCACATTGGCAAAGGTGCTCTTGGACAGTGGCGTGTCCCCAAACGAGACCAGAAACTTGAAGCAGTAGTTGCCCAAGTCCAGAGCCAGTTTGGGAATGACCAGCTGGGGCCGGTTGGCATCCACGTGGAGGAGCTGGACCTTATTGGCATTGCTCATCTGCAGGCAGCTTGGGGCTCGGTAGATCTCCCACAGGTAGGCCGTCTTGTAGCTGGTGCAGCCACGCAGGTTGATCTGGGCCTCCAGGTAGTTCTTCTGTGACCGCTTCATAACCACCTGCGCGGGTAAAGCCAGCTCAGCTTCGGGCTCCTCACACTCTAGCACTCGGACTGTGATGGTCAGCTGGGCGAAGGAGGAGCTGATGAGATTGCTGGCATTCACCTCCACCAGGTAATCTCCAGGTTGTAGGTAAGTATGGCCGACAGAAGCTACGTCAGTCCTGAGAACTGGAGAGCCATCCCCAAAGCGCCACCAGAAGCCAACCTGCCGAGCATTGGGCCTCACAGACACGACGAACGATGTCGTCCGGTTGGCGAAAGGCTTGACTGGCAGGAGAGAGAGTTGCGTGATGAGGTCTTGGACTTGAATCACAATGGTTACATTCAAGCTGCCCAAGAGGTTGGAAGCCTGGAGGTGAATGTCAAGTCGACCGGCAACCTGTGGAGTGTAAGAGATGATGGGGCCTTCTAAAATGGCCACTCTGGAACGGCCTCCGTCTTCCATCAAGGTGAGGCGCCACCTGTATGACACCCGTGAGCCGGCCTCAACCTCCGCTGCGAAGTGTCTTTCCACCCCGGTGGGAGTGCCTTGCTCGCAGCAGTCCACAAGCCTCAAGCCACGGACAGCCTCCAACACCACAACATGGACCTCTGTGCGGACCACACTGACGTAGTTCTCAGCTCTCACTTGGACCATGTAATCTCCCACTTGGGTGAAGGTATAGGTGAAGTTGGAAGTGTTCAGGACTACCGACTGGTTTCCTACAATGCTCACTTCATATTTCACAGAGGAACCAAAGGACATTCCGATGGAAAAGGAGGCCTCTTCGCCGGGCTCCAGCACCCTTTTGCTCACGCTGAGCCTCAGGTCCCGAATCGCGTCCTGCACTGTCAGGTTATGGCAGGCGCCTTCCCAGCTGACGTCATTGGAGGCGTTGAGGCAAACGGAGAAGAACCCAGGTGTCGGGAAAGTCAGGGCCACTCTTTGCCCGGATATCGTTCCGTTGGGCATCTTCCACACCCAGGACACGTCAGACCCACTTTCAAGCTCTCCGGAGAAGTTCACCACGGAGCCAGACTCAATGTAAGTGCAGTTGGGCCTTAGGGTCCTGATCCGCAGGCCCGTCACTGGCTCTTGGACGAAGACCATGAGCGTGGCGTTTGTGGAACCCAACTTGTTTTCTGCTTCAACAGTGACTACTTTAGCCCCAGGGCTTTGGAAAAAGTGTGTGATGATTGAGAAGACAGTGGTGAGAGGGACTTCATTTTCTAGGTACCATGTATACTCCAGTCCTGTCCCAGCGGAGACGGTAGCACTTATGTTGATGGAAGCATTCACGGCAACAGGGTTGGGAAATGCCACCAGCTTCAAGACGCCCACTGGCTCAATGAACTCTATTGTCTTGTTCACGGCCAAAGTGCCCAGCATGTTTGTGGCTTTCAGGTGGACTATGTAGATGCCGGCGTCCAGAATAACCAAGGAGAACGTCTTCCCAGTGAATGTTTGCACAGAGTGGCTCTCTTTCATGACGGCCCAACTGTAGGAGATGTTCGTCCCATCTCTGATGTTTGCTTGCAGCTGCAGTGTCTTGTTGGTGGGGAAATAGGTGTCGTCCAGGAGGCCAGTGCCCACAATGTGCAGCCCTTCGATTTGCTGCAAGACATAGATGAAGATGCTGTCTTGCAAACAGCCAATCTCATTCTCGGCGGTCACGATGACATTGAATGTCCCAATAGAACGGAAAGTGTAAGAGATGGTGGAGGAACCAAGGATGGGAGTGCAACGGTCGCACAAGATCCAAGAGTATCGGATGGCGGTGCCAGCAAGGAGTGTGGCCGTGAAGCTGACTGAGCCATTCAGAGGCACCACGGTTCGACTGGCATTTATGCTTAGGCCCTGGAGGCGCCTCTTGACCGTCACGTTCACCCTCGCCTCATGGAAGCTCACCTCGTTCCAGGCCTTTAAACTAACTGCATAGATGCCACTCTTATTGTAGGAATGGGTGATGAACTTCCCCAGCTGAGTTGTGCCATCCCCGAAGTCCCACAGATACCTGACTTTAGTCCCACTCACGTTGGCAGAGAATAGGTAGACCTGGTTGACTTCCAAGACCTTGGAGGCATTGGACTCAATCCGGGCCACTCCAACCGGCTCCTGGACTTCCACCAAGGCCGAGTCATTGTTGAAAGACACGTTATTGGAGACGGTCACCACAACTAAGTAGACACCTGGGGCTTTGTACGTGTAGCTCACTTCCGTCCCTCCAAACTTAACAGAGTCATTGGCCCCAAAATCCCAGTGGTAACGGTAAGGATATAGCGGCAAGGCCGTGACTTGGAATTTGCTCTCGTTGCCGAGCATCACAATCGGGGGCTTGGCGAACAGTGTGACATTAGTGACCTCCGGCTCCACACACACCTCAGGGTAATAATGGATTGTGTCGACCTTGCTGGAGATGGCCAGCGAGAGGGAGAAGATGCCAAAGCGGGTGAAGTTGTGCCTCACTGTCGGGTCGCCATAGACGGTGACATTGGGGGAGCCATCCCCGAACATCCAGTCAAAAGAGTAGTCCTCAGGATTGCCGGAGACGTAGGCAGTGAGCTGGACATCGGGATGCTCCACAATACAAGCAGAAGGCTCGAATTTGAAGACCATCAGCAAAAACACCTGGATGGGCACGGCTCGGGAAACCGAGTTTACCGGATTCATGGCCGTTACGTTGACGGTGGCATTCATCTCTTTCAAGTAGCTGTGATTTACTGACGCCTCCAAGGTCTCCACAACTGTCCCATCGCCCAGATCGAATATCCAAGTGATGTTGTCCCCCGTTTCCAGTGAAGCGCTTATCTCGAGCGGCATCAAGACCTCGATCGCCTCCTCCAGAGTCACCTGCAACCCTGTTATCTCTTCAAAGACACGGTAAGACCGGAATGTGTCTATGGTGCTAATGGTGTTGTTGGCTCTGAGACTGATGGTGTATATTCCTTTGGCATTGTAGGTATGGACTATAGTTGGCTGGCTTTCCACATATACCGTAGAGTCATCTCCAAAATCCCAGATGTAAGAGACCCCATATCCAGATGGCACAGGGTGAGCCTTGAAAGTGACTGGGCGACCTGCCACCAAAACATCTGCATCGGCTTGCATTGTCAGATCCATCAAATATGAGTAAATGTGGATCGGGACCGAATAAGTCAGGTTCTCAAATTCATTGTAGATGACGACAGTCAGAGTATATTCACCTGCAAAGTGGGACAGAGAAGAGAAATTGCTTCCTGTAAAGTATACATGTTCCACAGTGATATATATGTAAAACATCAAAAAGAACTATGTCATTTGGGATCTCCCCAGAATATTATCTCACTCTCCTAAATAGATATTTTATATCCATTCATGCAGGGACCCATATTGGGAGAAAGGTGAGATAGAAATTAGATAATGACCTAAATGCATGACAAATGTATGATATGTTTTGGTTGCATATTTGGAAAAAACGGAGATGCAATGCCTGAATTGTATACGGATGTCCTTTGGGTTTGCCAATTTGAGTAATAAGTATAAAATGCCATCAATATTAGGGACAGAATGGTTTTGTTTCCATTTGTTCTCCATAGAGTCAAGCAGACATAAAAAGAACTAAGATCAGGAGTTGCCTGGGTTTTGCCTCCTCAAATAAAAGCATAATAATAATACTAATACTAAGAATAATAATAATAACTGTCCTAGACACATGGAAGTGTCCAACATGTAATCAAATACAAAAGCTAGCAGAGTGATCTTGTTTGCTGTGCATTAATCTTGTTATTTATCTAATAATAATAATAATAATAATAATAATAATAATAATAATACTTTTAGGGCAGTGAATACCACGCCTTGCATTCAAATATTGACCCTCTTCTCACCTGGCTCCTGGTAGGTATGCGACACATTATGCCCAATGACAACCTGATGGACAGTGGGATCAGGAACAAGGAAGGAGTCATTGTATGGGGGACAAAATTGGGAAAAAGCACTGTTGCCGTCACCAAAATCCCACCTGGAGAAGGAAAAAGTTATGCAATACATTGATCAGTTGTTAACCAGATAACCAAAAGTGCATAATCTTCATTTTGTCCTCTGCTAGAAACCCCAAAAGTTTCCCAATTCAACCTGGACGTTTTTCAGGCTACGTGGCCAAGCACTTTGGCAGGTTTTTCCAAAATTGGGACTTCTTTGGTTTCAAAAGTTTTACCAGAACTCTGCTTTGGCCTTACATCACGCCAAATGGACAGATATATATCAGCCAAAAGCAGGTGAGGACAAACAAGGCACAGTGTAGTCATGTCCAACCTTTGGTTCTCCAGGCGTTTTGTTGGACTCCAGCTCCCAGAATCCCTGACCATTGGACAAGCTGGTAATATGGGCTTTTGGGAGTCTGAGTACTGGCACCTGGAGGACCAAATGTTTTGAGACCAGGGTTCAAATCCCCACTCAAGTTATGGAAACCCTCTTAGGTTTGGAGAGCACACTGTATTCTTTGGCAGAAGAAAGGTCTTGGGAAATGACAGCTCCCAAGATCCTAAGGTGGGTACAAACCGCCTCCCTCCTCCAGTGCAGGTGACTCACAGGAAGGTGGCCTTCACGGCAGAGTCCACCCAGACAGAAGCGGCCAAGTCCAGGGTGCTGTTCTGCGGGGCGCGCTGGGGCACCTCAGAGACCAGGAGGTCCTTCATCCGGTTCATTTTCTCCACGGTGATGTTGTAGTCCACTGTGACGTTACTGACGTGGTTGGAGGCCGTGAGCTGCATGGAGATAACATAGATATCCAGTGCATCAACAATCCAAAGAGCAAATAACACTCTCTTGGCCTCAAGGAAAGAACAGGCCCAAGCTTTGCTGATGAAAGGCTCAACTGGTGTCATTGTTTGAATATTGAGGATTTTTGGGAACTAGGTTCGACTCCCCCCTTGACCTTGGAAATCCTGGGCAAGTCGCACTCTCTGAATACTATTATTATCAATATGTTTATTTATACCCCGCTTTTTCTCTCCACAAGAAACCTCAGAGGAAGGCTATGGCCAAGCTCTCTCTAAGCTCATTCTAATGGTGGCCATAACATGTTGTTTGCTAAGGCATAAAACTTATAAAAACAACTGTCACTTGCACTGTTTACCATCAAAACGCCATTTTTTCCAAACCAGAGTTGGATTCCCACTGTTCGATGTTCCCTGGAGTGAATATCTGCCTCCAAATATAAGATGGGGTGAATCGCAGACTTCCAAAGGGAAAGGGATTGGCAAGAATTCCTGCTTTTGCACCCATATCCAAGCAAAGCTTGACTCACCGACAGCTTGTAGATGGCCGGGACCTGGTAGATGACGTGGAAGACTTCGTTGTAGAAGGTGAAAGAGGGCTTGTCATCCACCGTCCACCGAAAGGTCACATCGGATCCAGCATCCATCACAGGAACATACGTCTGCAAGGGAATGGCGGAAACGGGGCATGGATTCAAAACAGGGCATTTGGGCCAACTTTTTTCATAGACAAAAGTCAACTTCCAATGGAATCGCTTGTTCCTCCAATGCAACCCTATGGCCAACATCCATTGGAATCTCTAGTTCCTCCAATGCAATGCTATGGTCAACTTCAATGGAATTTCTAGTTCTTCCAACGCAACCCTATGGTAAATTTCTAATGGAATTTCTAGTTACTCCAATGCAACCCTATGGCCAACTTCCAACGGACTCTCTTGTTTTTCCAAAGCAACCCTATGGTCAACTTCAATGGAACCTGTAGTTCCTTTCTATGGTCAACTTCAGTGGATTTCCTGGTTCCTTCAATACAATCCTATGGTCAACTTCAATGGAACCTGTAGTTCCCTTCTATGATCAACTTCAATGGAATCTCTAGTTCTTCCAATACAATCCTATGACCAACTTTGAGTAGAATCTCTAGTTCCTACCCATGATTGACTTCCAATGGAATCTCTAGTTCCTCCAATGCAACCCTATGGCCAACTGCGAGGAGAATCTCTATTTCTTCCAATGCAACCCTATGACCAACTGCGAGTAGAATCTCTAGTTCCTACCCATGATTGACTTCCAATGGAATCTCTAGTTCAGGGGTCCTCAAACTATGGGCCGCGGGCTGAATACGGCCCTCCAAGGTCATTTACCCGGCCCTCACTCAGGCGCAACCTAAGTCTGAAATGACTTGAAAGCACACAACAATCCTTTCTCATCATCCAAAAGCAGGGCCACACTTCCCATTGAAATACTAAGTTTATATTGTTAAAATTGTACTTCATTTTAATTACTGTATTGTTTTTAAGTGTTTTTTGCACTACAAATAAGATATGTGCAGTGTGCATGGGAATTCATTCATGCTTTTTTCAAATTATAATCCAGCCCTCCAAAAGTTTGTGGGACTGTGACCTGGCCCTCTGTTTAAAAAGTTTGTGGATCCTTGCTCTAGTTCCTCCAATGCAACCCTATGACCAACTTCGAGGAGAATCTCTATTCTTCCAATCCAACCCTATGACCAACTTTGTGTAAAATCTCTAGTTCCTACCCATGATTGACTTCCAATGGAATCTCTAGTTCCTCCAATGCAACCCTATGGCCAACTTCAAGGAGAATCTCTAGTTATTCCAATGCAACCCTATGACCAACTTCGAGTAGAATCTCTAGTTCCTACCCATGATTGACTTCTAATGGAATCTCTAGTTCCTCCAATGCAACCCTGTGGCCAATTTTGAGTAGAATCTCTAGTTCCTTTCTATGGTTAACTGCCGATGGAATCTTTAGTTTCTCTAATGCAACCCTATGGCCAACTTCCAGTGGGATCTTTTTGGGGGCTCACCACACGGCTGTTGAGCAGGATCCTCGACTCAGGGTCTGGCGTGGCGTGCAGCCCCCGGATGCCCTTCTCAGCCTTGACCACCACGGTGAGGTTCTGGGTGCTGACAGCGTTCTCTGCCTGCAGGACGATGCTAGTCCCGTTCTCCTCGATGCCCTCCAAGAAAACACCCGCGAACCATGTGTCATCTGTTTCAGGGCCACATTCAACCACTGACGCTGGGCAGTTCTTCTCAAAAAGGGTGCTGTGATTGCTGCCAATCCAACGAACAGTGGTGTTCGCCCCACCTGAGGAGATCTTGACCACTAGAAACGTATGGTTGGCCTCTACATAAATGATGCCACCTTGTTCAGCTGGGGAGACAACCCGCAAGCCGGAGATAGGTGACTCAATCCCAAAATCGCAGGATACGTTGGCCCCAAAGACATTGTTACTTATGGAGGCCCGCAGGGTGTAAAAGCCTGGCGACGGGACACCAAAGTTCTCCTTCCAAATGATGGGTGCCACCTCCTCCGTGGTGCAGAGGAGCCGGAATTCACACTCAGAGCCATTGTGCCACTTGGAAGCACAGAAGGATGGGTGGAAATCCGTTTCCCAGGCAGAAGAGTTCCAGGAAAAGTAACTCGTTGGTGAAGATGGCGCCTGGTTCTGGTGGCAAAGGAGGAACGCGCCTGGTCCTGCATCGTGCTGGATGCTCAACGTGTCATTCGGCCCAATGGAGATGTCCTTGTTTTTGAAGTGAAGCTGCAAAAGGAGGCACCATACTTTCATCGAGACCCAATACAGAACTCTCAAGTTATGTTATTCAGAGATACATCAAACAGGTAATAAAGACTGGGGGGATGGATATTGTTTTTGTGATGTGTGCTAAGGAAGGCATTTAATTTCTTTGTGCAATAGTACAATGACAATAAAGCTATTCTATTCTAATGATAATAACGTTGCTAACAATAATAGTAAAAATAATAATAATATAAATGATAATGATGATAATGACAATAATAATGACAATAATATTGATGATAAGCAAAGGGCAGCGGGGATGCTAATAATAATCATGATGATGATAATAATAATAATAATTATGATTAAGGTAAAGGTAAAGGTATTCCCCTGACATTAAGTCCAGTCATGTCCAACTCTTGGGGTTGGTGCTCATTTCCATTTCTAAGCCGAAGAGCCAGCGTTGTCCGTAGACACCTCCAAGGTCATGTGGCCAGCATGACTGCATGGAGCGCCGTTACCTTCCCGCCAGAGCGGTACCAACTGATCTACTAACATTTGCATGTTTTCGAACTGCTAGGTTGGCAGAAGCTGGGGCTAACAGCGGGAGCTCACGCCACTCCCCAGATTCGAACTTGCAACCTTTAGGTCAACAAGTTTAGCAGTTCAGCGGTTTAACCCACTGCGCCACCGTGGGCTCTCATAATTATGATTATAATAATGATAATAATAATGACGATCATACAATAATAATGATAATACTAATATAATGATGATGATAATGATAATAACAAGATGATAACAATGATAATAATTACAATAATGATAATAGTAATAATTATAATAATGATAGTGATATTACAATGATGATAATGATAATAATGATAATAATAGGTAAATTATGATTAAGGTAAAGGTAAAAGTATTCCCCTGACATTAAGTCTAGTCGTGTCCGACTCTGGGGGGTAGTGCTCATCTCCATTTCTAAGCCAAAGAGCCGGTGTTGTCCATAGATGCCTCCAAGGTCATGTGGCCAGCATGACTGCATGGAGCGCTGCTCCCTTCCCACAGAAGATGTTCCTACTGATCTACTCACATTTGCATGTTTTTGAAATGCTAGGTTGGCAGAAGCTGGGCCTAACAGCGGGAGCACACCCCGCTCCATGGATTTGAACCGGTGACCTTTCAGTTAACCCACTGCGCCACCAGGGGACCCATAATGATAATAATAATAACATTACTCCGTCATTTCTGTTTGCATATTATTAATATTATTACCATTATGATTACCATTTTCAATTATAACAATGATATTGGTAATAGTATATAATAATATTAATAATATGAAAAGGGCAATGACGGATGCTATCTTTGGAATTTGGAAATTTTCCTATTTTTTGGTCTTTCATTCCCCAAAAAATCTTCTTAGGGGAACTCTTGTCCTAAAAGAAGTTCTTTCCAAGCTCAAACTCTTGTGGGTCAATATTATTATTATTGCTCTTCTCAAGGGGAAAAATGAATAAAACTAAACGACTTATCAGGACTTCTTCGTATATTTCAAAAGTTTGAAGCCTTAAGACTTTAAACTTGGAAACTTCGTTCACTTCTTTGGGTCAAAATAAATGGGGAATGAGTAATTATTATGATTATGATTATGATTATTATGCATACCAGATACAGCATGGAGGGTCCTGGTGGCACGATGAAAAGGGACTCCTGGACCTGGACCATGGTAGGAGGATTGAGGCAGCGGTGAGCGATGGGAGATGGAGTGCTGGCCATTGAACTGTTGGTACACGCTCCAAATTTGTTGCAGCATCCTCCCAGAGGCAGGCAAGAGTTGGTCAGTTGGCACCAATAGGACCCAGATGGACAGTCCATTTGCAGCTGCATCTCTTGCAAGGGATCCGTGCCGTTCCGTTCTTCCTTGCATCCTGAAAAGGAAAAACTTCCCATCACAACGGAATAATCCTAACACTATTCCCCATTATCCCAGCACCTGAGGATAGCATATTTATAGAGTGAATCCCTGCTCAGCCATAGAAACCCATTGTGATGGCTTTGGGCAAGTCATACCCTCCCAGTGTAGAATTAATGCGCTTTTACGGCTATGGAAATCCTGGGAGTTGTAGTTTCACAAAGTCTTTGAGCCTTCCCTAGGAGCTTTCTTTTAGAACGTGAATGTGCTTTTGACACCCTTGGAACCGCCATGGCTCAATGCTATGGAAAATCCTGGGAGTTGTAGTTCTGCAAGGTCCATAGCCTATTCTGGGTGCATCTTCACTATTACAATGAATATAATTTGACCCCATTGTAACTGGTATGGAAAATCCTGGGAGTTGTAGTTTCACATGGTCTGTAGCCTATTCTGGGTGCACCTGCATTATTACAATGAATGTAATTTAAGCCCATTGTAACTGCTATGGAATCCTGGGAGTTGTAGCCTCCACTAATGAAGAGTCCTGGGGCCTCGGCGAACTACAAATCCCAGGATCCCAGAGGCAGTGCCAGTGCTGTGAAATCAGTATCGAATTGCATCCAATTCTACAGTTTTGATGTACCCAGCAAAGGCTAAGGAATCTTGGGAAACTATAACTCCCAGGATCCCACAGAAACTGAAAGCAGATAAAGCTCAAGATCTTCAGAAAACTACAACTCCCAGGATCCCATAGCACTGAGCCAGGGTCATGAAAGGGCCAGAAAACTGTACTCATTCTACTGTGCAGGTGCGCCTTCTGGCAGAGAAAGCTAAAGTCTTTGGAAAACTATAACTTTCAGAATACTGCAGCACTGAAAGCAGAAAAAGCTGAAATTCTTGGGAAACTACAACTCTCAAGAACCCATAGTATTGATTCAAAGTGGTGAAAGTGGCCTAAATCTGCACTCATTCTTCAGTGCAAATTATTATTATTATTAATAATAATATTAATAATAATAATAATATGCATCCTCATACTTAGAGCATTTTTGTGTCACAAACTATGTTGAATGGGTTGACTCTCAAGAATGTCTTCATTAAAAACTATAGCAAAATGTGCTGCAGGATGATGTCCCCCCCACAAAAACAAAATTTGTGCAGTTTTTCCATGTTTTTATGATAGAATCAATTGGGAAATGACATGTATAATCCAGGAACAGAAATTGTGTTAGATAGGATTTCAAATAGGAGAATCAATGGGATTTCGAAGCTCTCACCTTTTCCATGTGCCAGACGGTGTAAACGAAAGCGGACCTGGACGTGCCGCTGCAACTCCCGAGTCGCCATCTCCAAAGCCAATAGAAAACCCTCTCTTGGGGATGTCAATGTGGGAAACACTAAGGTCTGGAAGGGGGAAGAAAACCCAAAATGTTCCAAATAATGCCCTTGGTTGGACTACATCTCCCAAAATATGGATCCTTGAGCTGCTCACCTCTATAGTTCCCAATGGTGCCGAGAGCTCTTCCGTTTCGGTGACATTTCCCGTCGGTAGGTAGGATCCAAATGTATTGGCACCCAGGTAGAAATGCTCAGCATTTAAAACAATCTCTATTTGGGGAAAGAAATAGAATAAACATTATAATGCATACAATCCATGGCTTTGCAAACATAATGCTTTGCAATGATCTCTCCCTTGGAGAGAATGCATAAAGCAACCCATAACTGGGCTGCAAATGCCAACAACCCAAGGAATGTCTTCATTCGGGGACCATTTCATCCTAGATGTTCTGTTTTTATTCCAGAATGGACATCCCAGGGTTCCTTTCTCTCTCCAAATTTGCATGACCCCGCCAACTGCCTCTCACTTAACCCTTTTCTACCTGTTCCTATGGCATAAAATACTGGAGGGGTTTGGGGGGGGATGACTTGCCCACACGGGAGTTGTAGTTCTCCTGGCATCCAAAGATATTACCAAACTACCCAAAACAAACAGTGCCTTTCTCAAGTAACCCGGGCATCGCCAGGTCCCCAAGGTAGTAATGTAATAAAATGCGGCATTATATATATTTTTCAAATGGTTGAAATACAGTTAAAATCAATGTAGAGTCATTTCCTCCTTTGAGAAATATTGAGATAAATATAAAAATACAAGAATTTAATTTTGAAATTGTTTGCATAAATATTACACATAAGTATGCTTTAATCTCAAATATATTTATCTGCATTTAGCAGAAATGGATACAATTAATATATTATAATATTTTCAAAAGTCCGTTGTGTTTTTTCTCTCTATCTATCTATCTATCTATCTATCTATCTATCTATCTAAATAAATAAATAAATAAATAAATAAATAAATAAATAAATAAATAAATGTATATTTGTGGGATTAACATAACTCAAAAACCACTGGACGAATTGCCACCAAATGTGGACACAATACACCTATCAGGCCAGCGAGTGACCATCACTCATAAAAACACTGAAAAATACAGCAGAAATGACTTAAAAAGCCAAAAAAACAAAAATTACATTACAAAGCATGTGCAAAACCATAAATATACACAAACATACACACACTCATATATACACACACACAAAACACATATACATAGACTGGGCCACAGCAATGCGTGGCAGGGGATGGCTAGTATCTATATAAATAAAAATGTAATGTTTGTTTGTGGGATTAACATAACTCAAAAACCACTGGGCGAATTGATACCAAATTTGGACACAATACACCTCTCAGGCCAACAAGTGACCATCACTCATAAAAAATACTGAAAAACACAGCAGAAGAGACTTAAAAAGCCAAAAAATAAAAAATACATTACAACGAATGCGCAACACCACATATACACAAATATACACACACATATACACATATATACACATACAAAATACATATACACAGACTGGGCCACAGCAACGCATGGCAGGGGACGGCTAGTATGTGTGTATATATATATATAAAAATGGAGAGGAAAGGCCTGGGAAAAAGCTATGGGGACAGAGAATCATGGGATTATAATAATATCTATACACATAATATAATAATATACACATAATAAAAGTGGAAATATGCATGTGTGTATGTGGCAGGGTGCCCACTTACATATTCAAGCTCCTGCCTCCACAAACAGCTATAGCTCCCACTGCTCAGGAGACACCAATGGCCCTCCCTCCAATGATATTGCAGGTTATAGTGAGTGCCATGAACATGTACAAGAGCCCTGCCACTATCCTCCACAAACACCATACTGCCCACCACCCAAATGGAGGCTTTCATACAGGGACAATTTCATCTTAAATTTTATGTGTTTCCTCCACCACAGCCATCCCAGTATTCCTTACTCTCTCCAAAGGAGTGGAATTTCCATGATGCCGCCCACTGCCTCTCTCTTAACCCTTTCCTGTTCTTTTCTATGACACACAGAGAAAACAGAGGCATTGATCAGCAACTGAACATACTAGAGAGGTTTGGGGAGAATTCACCATGATTTATAGGAGTTGTAAGTACTGGGATGTATAGTTCACCTGCAAACTAAGAGAACCCTGAACACCACCAACAATGGACCGGGAACTAACTTGGCACACAGGACCCCCAAGACAAAAAATACTGGAGGTCTTTGAGGGAAATTCACCTTGATTTGGGGGACTTCTAGTTCACCTACATTCCAAGAGCACTGAGAACCCAAACACTGATGGATCTGGACCAAACTTGACACGCATACCTGATATGGCCAAATTTGATTACTGGAGGGGACTGACCTTAATTTCTGGGATCTGTAGTTCACCTAAAACCAGAGAAACTGTGACCCTCAGTAATGATGGACCTGGATCAAACTTTGTCATAAAGAATCCCATGACTAACAAAATATACTGGAGGGGTTTGAGGGGACTGACTCATAATGGTGGGAGTTGTAGTTTACCCTGCAGCCAGAGACCACACTGGACCCCACCAATGCATCTAGAACAAACTTGCCCAACATAACCAACTTTTAAGTGCTCATGGAGTTTTTTGGGGTTAACCTGGCATGATGTGAGTTGTAGTTCACCCACAACCTTATGCATTTTGTACAATTAAAAAAATGACTTTTTCAAATAATCCGGGATATGGCTGGTACCCAAGCTAGTAAATAATAAAAATATATAATCCTATAATTATTGGTACTAAATATAATTTAACATTACTATTATAAATAATAGTACCACACTTTGAGCCTTAGGGAGAGGAAGTTGTTATTATTATTATTATTTTTATTATTATTATATTTATTATTATATTTATTATTATTTACAGGCAGATGATTTTTTTTATTCTGCAACTTGCCTTGAGCCTTGAGGAGAGACGATTAAGGAATAAATTATTATATTATAATAGTAATACTATTATATTTATTATTATTTACAGGCAGATAATAATTTATTTTTTAATTATTATTTTTATTCTGCAACTTGCCTTGAGTCATGAGGAGAGGTGAGTAAGAAATAAATGATGATTATTGTTGTTATTATTATTACTATTTCATATTCATTAGAATTATTACTATTAGTAATATCCCATTTTTATCTCTTTGAGATACAAAGAGACTCACAAAATTTAAAAATGATGCAATTTAAAAACTATATTATTTATCAGTGTATATTAGTATTTATTGGTATTTATAAGCAGATAAATATTAAAACAGAATTGAACATACAATTGTTTTAGTAACACAAATGTTCTTTTGTGGCATTTGAGTGTATTTTTGATTTTTAATTAGGGGTTAAGTTGCATTTTTGGCAAAATATAGTGCAATTAAAAATATATATGATGGATATTTAGATGGGAATCCGTTACTCTCCCAATTGCTTGTGTGAACACATTAGTTTTTGCATTCAGAAATCTTTTTCCAATATATTATACAACTGGCTGTACATTAAATTGCCAAAATTTGTTGGAAAATAAATCAAGCGAAGGCAAGGCTTATGGAGGAAATATCCTCAGCATCAGCAGATATATAATAGCGGCGTTTTAATAAATGTGGGGTTTTGGGTGAGTTTTCTGGGGTTTTTTTTTCAGTCTGATGACCGCATCGCGACTGATGTGGAAAAGTGGCTGGGATCCAAAGGAGCTCCAACTGAGCCAAATAGACTTTGCAGATATCGGCTTCTGTTCCTTGCTAAATGTCTTGCTTTTCCTCCAAGGATCAATTGCACTCTAAAATAAGAGTGCAAGAAAATGTGCAAATCTGCTCACTTTGTGGGACTTTTACCTTGAAACGTAACGGCAAACGCCAAGGATATTGCACAAGTCTCTCTCAATGCATTGAATGTAAGCCCCTTTGATCTCCTTGTGGAGAAACAACTGGGGTGTAAATAAACATAACAACAACAACAAGAAGAAATGTAAGACTCCTTGCAGGGACAAGAGGCAAAAAGTAAGGAAAAATGATATTCAGGTGTGCTCAGAGAAATCTATGGACCTTGCAACTTTCAGAACTCATCGCAATTTAGCCCTGGCAGTTCCAGCAATGCCAAGCAGAAGCCAATGGACCTTGGAAAACTACAACTCCCACAACTCCACCATTCATAGAAGCCAATGGACCTTGGAAAACTACAACTCCCACAACTCCACCACAAATTAGCCCTGGCAGTTCCAGTGGTGCCAAAACGCCATTCATTCTACAGTGTAGAAGCACCCAGAGAAGCCAATGGGCCTTAAAAGACTACCACTCCCACAACTCCACCACAAATTAGTCCTGGCAGTTCCATTGGTGCAAAACGACATTCATTCTTCACTGTAAATGCACCCAGAGAAGCCAATGGACCTTGGAAAATTACAACTCCCAGAACTCCACCACAAATTAGCCCTGGCAGTTCCATTGGTGACAAACAACATTCATTCTTCAGTATTGATGCACCAGAGAAGCCAATGGACCTTGGAAAACTACAACTATCAGAACTCCACCTCAAATTAGCCCTGGCAGTTCCATTTGTGCCAAATGGCATTCATTCTTCAACGTAGAAGCCCCCCAGAGGAGGCAATGGACCTTGGAAAACTACACCTCCCAAGAACTGGGCTGTTGACCACAGGCTGCCCACCTGGGGGCTTGTGCTCGCAGAGGTAGCTGTGCTTGGCGGTGCAGAGGTCGGTGTTGCACTGCCCGGCGGGGCCCATCCGTACGCAGTGGTCGGCATTGGAGGGGTGGGGCTCCCCGGGAAGCCAGTTCTGGCAGCTCTGCAGGTCAAAGCCCTCCTCACCAGGAGGGGCACCGCTGGGGCCGGACGCCGCGTCATTGAACCCAATCCAGACATCCAGGCTCCTACCAGAGAGAGAACACATTCATATATTAGATTAGAATTATACACCCCATAACAGCTCTGGGCTGACTTGGGCCCTCCAGGTGTTTTGGACTGCAACTCCCACAATTCCTAACAGACAATAGGCTGTTAGGCATTGTGGGAGTTGTGGTCCAAAACGACTGGAGGGCCCAAGCTGGCTCATACCTATCCTATACTCAATCTTTAGGTGTACTTTCCCCACATTACTCCTTCTCCAGAGATGTTTAAGAAGAGTCTGGATGATCATCTGTTGGGAGAGCTTTGATTGTGTCCTCCTGATTGGCAGAAGGGGGTTGGACTGGATGGCCTTTGGGGTCCCTTTCCACATTATAACTCTATGAAACAGGTATCATCTATCAGTTCAATTATATATCTATATTCTATCTATCTATGGGTCTATGATCTATCTATCTATCTATCTATCTATCTATCCATCGTCCTATGATATATTTATCTATCTTTCTATGGTTCTATTATATATCTATCATCTATCTATTTATATCTATCTATGGTTCCATGATATAGCTATCATCTATCTATCTCTCTGTCTATAGTTCGATGATACATATCTATCTATCTATCTATCTATCTATCTATCTATCTATAGTTCTATGATATATTTATCTGTCTATGTTTCTATGATATATATCTATCATCTGTCTATGGCTGGATTGCCATCTGTTGGGGGTGCTTCAATTGTGTCTTCTTGACTGGCAGAAGGGGGTTGGACTGAATGGCCGTTGGGGTCTCTTTCAACTATGATTCTATTATATATATATACATGATTCTGTGATACATCTATCATCTATTATTACTATTATGTTTACTTATATGTTGCTTTTTCTCTCCGCAAGGAAACTCATATCTATAGCTGGATGGCCATCTGGCCAGACTGGCAGAAGGGGGTTTGGATTGGATTACCTTTGGGGTTTCTTCCTACTCTATTATTCTATCTATCTATCTATCTATCTATCTATCTATCTATCTATCTATCTATCTATCTATCATTCTATGATCCATCTATCATCTATCAATAACATATCTATATAAATAAAAATGTAATCTTCGTTTGTGGGATTAACAGAACTCAAAAACCACTGGACGAATTGACACCAAATTTGGACACAAAGCACCTAACAACCCAATCTATGTCCTTCACTCAAAAAAATGATTTTGTCATTTGGGAGTTGTAGTTGCTGGGATTTATAGTTCACCTACAATCAAAGAGCATTCTGAACCCCACCAACGATAGAATTGAACCAAACTTGGCACACAGTTCTCCCACAACCAACAGAAAATACTGGAAGGGTTTGGTGGGCAGTGTCCTTTGGTTTTGGAGTTGTAGTTCACCTACATCCAGAGAGCACTGTGGACTCAAACAATGATGGATCTGGACCAAACTTGGCACGGATACACAATATGCCCAAATGTGAACACTGGTGGAGTTTGGGGAAAATAGGGTCTTGACATTTGAGAGTTGTAGTTGCTGGGATTTGTAGTTTACCTACAATCACAGAGAATTCTGAACCCCACCAATGATAGAATTGGGCCAACCCTCCCACACAGAACCCCCATGACCACAAGAGTGGGCCACAGCAACATGTCGCAGGGGATGGCTAGTGTATATGTATATGTATATAATAGCTGGACAGCCATCTGTCGGGAGGGTTTGGATTCTGTCTTCCTTGATGGCAGAAGAGGTTTTGGATGGGATGACCTTTGGGAGTCCCTTTGAACTCTAGGATTCAATGATTCAATGGATTCAATAGAATATGCTGCTGCCTAGAAATCCAATGGAGTCTTTTAAACAGAGTCTTGGCTGGTCATCTGTCAGGAGGGCTTTGATGGTGTCATCTTGTCTGGCAGAAGGGGGGTTGGACTGGATGATCTTTGGAGGTCTCTTGGGTTTCTATGCAAAGGCCAAGAGTCCAGAGAGAAGGATAGCAGCTCAAACGGGGGTCAAACTGCATTAATTCCACAGTGTAGACGCACACCATAAGGAGTGTCTCTGCCTCGGAGACTCAATGAGGTAATTTTGAAAATGATGGCAAAAATAACCAGGGAGCGGAGTCAGCGTGTTCCCTTTCAAGAGCTGCAAAATTTGGTCCGAAGAACAAGAAACCGCTGTGTTCTTCGCCCGCCATCGCCAAAAGCCTAGGGAGAGTTTCCTGTTGGGGAGCCAACTATGAGCTCAATGCAAAAGTTCTTTAAAATAGAGATATATTAAGGTTGAAAGGGACGCCATCACCGTATAGTGTCTGGCTCGCTCCGAGTGAGTACTAAACCCAATGAGGATCAAAACAGAGCCAGTGGGACGAGAGAGAAGCCTAGAGTTGGAAGGGGCCCCCAAAGGCCATCCAGTCGAACCCCATTCATTTCAGGCAGGAAGGCACCATATCTCCTAATGATTAGCAATAATTCTCATTTAATATTTTTACAATTATTATAAAGAATAGTACCGACTTTGAGTTGGAGGAGAGAGGGGACCAGAGGAGTTGGAAGGGGCCCCCAAAGGCCATCCAGTCCAACCCCATTCAGTCACGCAGGTAGGCAACATATCTCATAATTATTAGTAATAATTATAACTTAGTATTATGACTATTATAAATATTATAAATACCTCACTTTGAGCCTCAGGGAGAGTCAGATATTATTATTATTATTATTATTATTATTATTATTATTATTATTAATTAATTAGCATTACTACTACCAATAATAATAATAATTACTATTATAAATAATAGTACCCAACTCTGAGCCTCAGACAGAAGCAGATAAATTATTATTTATTTATTTATTTATTTATTTGCTTCATTTGTATATCGCTCTTCTCAGCCCTCAGGCGACTCAGAGTGGTTAACAACCAGTTTCAACAACACAATACAAAATCATTAATCAATTAAAACAGTAGTATCAATTAATTAACACCAAAATATCAATACAACAGTACAGCACTATAACAATCCATCACGTCTCATCAATAGAATCAGCATCCGAACTCATTGTCCATTATTCCATTCCAATAATCAATCAATTGCATTGCTTAGTTGAAAGCCTGTTCGAAAAGCCAGGTCTTCACACTCTTCCGGAATGCCAATAAAGAGGGGGCCGATCTGATGTCTGTAGGGAGGGCGTTCCACAGCCGAGGGGCCACCACTGAGAAGGCCCTGTCTCTCGTCCCCGCCAGGCGTGCTTGTGAAGCCGGCGGGATTGAGAGCAGGGCCTCCCCAGACGATCTTAACGTCCTAACTGGTTCATAGGAGGAGATGCGTTCGGACAGGTAGGACGGGCCAGAACCGTTTAGGGCTTTAAAGGCTAAAGCCAGCACTTTGAATTGTGCCCGGTAGCAAATTGGCAGCCAGTGGAGCTGGCGCAACAGAGGAGTTGTGTGCTCCCTGAGTGCCGCTCCTGTTAGCATCCTGGCTGCCGATCGTTGGACCATTTGAAGCTTCCGAGCAGTCTTCAAGGCAACCCCACGTAGAGAGCGTTGCAGTAGTCTAAACGGGATGTAACCAGAGCATGGACTACCGTGGCCAAGTCAGACTTCCCAAGGTACGGGCGCAGCTGGCGCACAAGTTTTAGCTGTGCAAATGCTCCCCTGGTCACCGCTGAAACCTGGGGTTCCAGGCTCAGCGATGAGTCCAGGATCACACCCAAGCTGCGAACCTGCGTCTTCAGGGGGAGTGTGACCCCGTCCAACACAGGCTGTAACCCTATACCCTGTTAGGCCTTACGAATGACCAGGGGTACCTCTGTCTTGCCTGGATTCAATTTCAATTTGTTCGCCCTCATCCAGACCGTTACAGCGGTCAAGCACCGGTTCAGGACCTGAACAGCCTCCTTAGAAGAAGGTGGAAAGGAGTGACAGAGTTGGACATCATCCGCGTACAGATGAGAATTATTAAGAATTATTTAGCATCATTACTATTATTATTATTGCTAATAATAACAACACTGGGATGGTCATCCCGAAAGTTGGCCATCTAGCCTCTGCTCAAAGACTTCCATAGAATCCTAGAGCTGGAAGAGACCCTCAAAGCCATCCAGTACACCTTCCTTCTACCAAGCAAGAAGACACAATCCAATCCCTCCTGATAGATGGTCAGCCAGCCTTTGCATCATAGAATCCTAATGTTGGCAAAGATCCCAAGGGCCACCCAGTCCAAAGCCATTCAGCCAGGCAGGAAAGGCACAAACAAAGCCCTCCTGAAAGATGGCCATCCAGCCTCTGCTTAAAGACCTCCAGAAAAGGGGATTCCACCACCTTCCTAGGTAGTGATAATAACCATCATCATCATCATCATCATCATCATCATCATCATCATCATCACTTTATTTATATCCCGTCACCATCACCCCGAAGGGACTTGGGGTAGCTCACAAAAGCACACAATAGTGCAAACATATAAAATACAACAAAGTACATAAGCAAAATAGCACAATAACATCAAAGTCCAAATAAACAAATTACATAGGTATTCTACATAAAGAAGGAAGAGATGCCCCCCACCCCCCGCTTCCAGGCCTTGACCATTCATTTCCTATGGATAGAAAGAGGAAAGCTTGGAAGAAGCAGCAGCCCTGTTATCTATAATAGGATGGATTCAATAAATAGAGCAATGCAGCAGAAGGAGAGGAGGCAAAGGAGATGGCAATTATGATATCTCTGCTCCATTGCTAAGCATAAAAATAGGGGCAAAAAACCCAGCTCCATCCCACCGAAAACAAGGAATGAAGGCCAAGTGGATAACAAGTCATAGAAAGCAGGGTATAAATTATTATTATTTGAAACACAACAAGATGAGTCCACAGCAGACACTCTGCTGGCTGTTGTATTGGATCACACGTCGGACATCGACATCATCATCATCATCATCATCATCATCATTATTATTACGTTCAGGTGGAATCTCCTTTCCTGTAGTTTGAAGCCATTGTTCCATTGAATCCTAGTCTCCAGGGCAGCAGAAAACAAGCTTGCTCCTTCCTCCCTATGACTTTCCCTCACATATTTATACATGGCCATCATGTCTCCTCTCAGCCTTCTGAAGGCTAAACATGCCCAGCTCTTTAAGCCACTCCTCATAGGGCTTGTTTTCCAGACGCTTGATCATTTTAGTTGCTCTCCTCTGGACACATTTTAGTCGCCCTCCTCTGGATCAAGAAAGGTCTAGTTTTGCAACATGAATGAAGGCCAACTGGATAACAAATCATAGAAAGTGGAATAATAATAATAATAATAATAATAATAATTATTATTATTATTATTATTATTATTATTATTATTATTATTAAAGTACACATCTATACTCAAGATCTGATGAAGTTTAATACCACTTTAGCACCCAGGAGTCGGTGCAATGGGATCAAGAAAGATGTACGGTAGTTTTGCAAACCTCTGCCAAAGACGACAACTCTCGGGATTCCATAAACCTGGATGTTGAAGTGGTATTAAACTGCATCAATTCTTTAGTGTAGATGCACCAAATGCACAAACTTCAAATGCTACTGGCAACGAGGGATGTCTATGCGGTTTGGAGATGTGGCCAAACCCGACTGCACCTTGAAAGCATGCAAAAAGGAAGGATAAGAAGGAGGGAAGCCAGCAGGAAAGGAGGGGCACTCCCAAATCCTGGCCAAGTCCCCAAAAGCACAGCCAAATCCGCCCACGGCAAGGAGGAGGGAGATAGGGAGGGAATCGCCACGGAGCCAAAGAAAACCACACAAATCTTCTGGAAAGGTATAGAAAAACGCCGCCCCGTCTTTGCAAACAGAGAGGCCTCCGATTCCTAGGAAACACCGTTAAGATCCACGCTGGCATCCAAACCAGGCTCCCGGTTACCCCTCTTTCCAAAGCAAAGCTCTTAGCACAGGTCTAGCAGGAGCACCAAGCAGAACTTAATGCCCCGGAGGAAGTGAAAGGAGTCTTTGCGAGAAAGGAGGGAAAGCACTAAACCCGCTGCTAATCTTCTTAAGCACCTTCTGCATTGAGCCAACTGTTTTGTACAGAGGGAAGAATGGAAAGGAGAGCCTAAACCCATTGCTAATCTTCCTAAATCCTTTCTGTGTTTAGCCAAATGTTTTACATTTTTTAATTGTGAGTTTTGAAATGTTTTAGGAAGCCCCTTTGGGTTCCACTCTGGAGAAAAGGGGGTATAACAACTAAGGTAAAGGTTTTCCCCTGACATTCAGTCCAGTCATATCCAACTCCGGGGGGTAGTGCTCATTGCCATTTCTAAGCCAAAGAGCCAATGTTGTCTGTAGACACCTTCAAGGTCACGTGGCCGGCATTACTACATGGAGAGCTGTTACCTACCCGCAGAAGTGGTACCTACTGATCTACACGTATCTGCATGTTTTTTAACTCCTAGTTGGCAGAAGCTGGGGCTAACAACAGGAGGTTACACTACTCCCTGGATTCGAACCTGTGACCTTTTGGTCAGCAAGTTCAGCAGCTCAGCACTTTAACCCACTGCACTACCAGGGTCTCCAACTACAACTACATAGATGACAAATAGATCGCTTGGCTGGGTAGGTGGATAAATAGCTGGGATAGATGGATGGATGGATGGATGGATGGATGGATGGATGGATGGATGGGTAGGTAGGTAGGTAGGTAGGTAGGTAGGTAGGTAGGATAGATAGATAGATAGATAGATAGATAGATAGATAGATAGATAGATAGATAGAGCGAGCATCTGTAGCCAGATCACATCCATAGATGGACATAGTAGAGATGGATGGATGGATGGATGGATGGATGGATGGATAGATAGATAGATAGATAGATAGATAGATAGATAGATAGATAGATAGACAGATTAGTAGGGAGAGAGGTAGCTTTGATACATGGTGATGATAATGATTGATAGATAGATAGATAGATAGATAGATAGATAGATAGATAGATAGATAGGGAAATTAAGTAGGTAACTTGGACAGACAGATAAGCAGGTAAGTAGCTTGGATGGGTGGGTGGATGGATGGATGGCTGGATGGATGGATGGCTAGATAGATAGATAGATACGGTAGATAGATAGATAGATAGATAGATAGATAGATAGATAGATAGATAGATAGATAGATAGATAGAGAAGACATGGGCAATCCATGGTTCTAAAGTACTTACAAAACTAGGGGGCGCTGGTGCTTTGCTTCTAAAGTGTTGCTAAAGTTCTGGTGGTGAAAATTTCAGAAATCTAAAACTTTTAAAATTTCATTATAAATGGCAGTTCCTAATTGGTTCCGTCATAAAAATTGCCAATAACGAAATAATAATGAAATTTTGAAAGTTTTGTTAGAGTTCTGAAATTTTCACCACCAGAACTTTAGCAACACTTTAGAAGCAAAGCACCAGAGCCCTCTCTCTAGTTTTGTAAGTACTTTAGAACCATTTAGAACCAAGGATTGCCCATGCCTAATAGCTTGGATAGACAGATAAGCAGGTAAGTAGCTTGGATACATAGATGATAGATAGAATAGCATCCATAGATAAAGAGATAGACAGACAGACAGAATGGACGGACAGACAGACAGATTGAATGGTTGGTTGGTTGATAGAATAGGATGGATGGATGGATGGATGGATGGATGGATGGATTGACAGGATGGATAAATGGATGGAAAGGGGGGGGGAGAGGGAGAATTTGAAGGGATGGATAGATGGATAGAAAGAAAGACACATCGATCTAAGGTTTTGTTCAATATCTTTGCTTCCAAATAATCAATATACGTGGAAATTATCTGGTCTGCAAAACCTATTTTTTCATTCCCAGCCCAATCCAAAAATACCCAAAACCCCAAAACACTTCCTAAGCCTTTCGGATAAGCGATATTCAACTTATATCATACTCCGTTTTGCCAAAGGAATCCTCAGCAAATAGTAAATCACAGATGAGTCCCTCACTTACCTGGTGACCCGGGAGACCAGGAAATTTTGGATTTCAGGACTGCTGACGAAGGCCAGGTGCCCGCGGCCATAGTCCTGGCAATGCTGCTGGGCCTCCTGCCACTCGGCTTTCTCCGCCACCAGCCAATAGCAATGGCCGTTCCCGGGAAAGGCGACACTTTCTATGGGACATGCTGGGAAAACCGCTGCAAAAGGGAGAACCAGGATCAACCAAAAGAGTGGCACCTCAGGCTATGAAGTCAGACTATATTGGGTGCATCTACACTGTGGAATTAGTAAATGTTGGCAACACTTGAACTGCCATGGCTCAATGCTATGGAATTTTGGGAACTGTAGTTTTGCAGGACTTTGAAGTGTCCTCTGCCAAAGAGAGATAGATGGATAGATAGGATGATTGGATGGATGGGTGGATGGATATAGGCCATGTAACATCCAGATTATCTGTTTTCAACTGGATTATATGGCAGTGTAGACTCATATAATCTGGTTCAAAGCAGATGTGGATTATCTGCTTCGGTAATCTAGATTATATAGCAGTGTAGAAGGGGCCATAGTTGACAGATAGATAGATATAGATAGATAGATTGATTGGATGGTTTATTTCAGTGCCTGCATTTGTTTTTTTTAGTTCTAAGTTGTTGCAAATATTATTATTATTATTACTATTATTATTCTACAGTAAACTGAATTGGATAAAATGGTTATGTTTAACTTGTTGTGAACATATTACAATAATAATAATAATAATAATAATAATAATAATAATAATAATAGGGAGGAAATTATACATGCCATGGGCAAGTTATACATGGACAAACTTTGACCCTCCAGGTGTTTTGGACTTCAATGATGGATTGGATGGATGGATAAATGGATGAAGACAGAGAGATAATTTGGATGAATGGATAGATGGATGTTAGGTATCAATCAATCAAACTTTATTACAATCCAAAGACTACATTTGCTCAGTTGTCCATCCATCCAAACATCCTATCCATCAATCATCTATCTAACTAACCATCCAACCATCCTATCTTTCATCTATCCAACCATACTATCTATCTATCCATCCATCCTTCCATCCATCCATCCATCCATCCAACCCCATTCTATCTATTCATCCATCCATCCTATCGATTCATCCATCCATCCAACCAACCAACCATCCTATCTATTCATCCGTCCATCTAACCAACCACCCTATTTGTTCATCCATCCATCCAACCAACCAACCATCCTATTTATTCATCCATCCATCCAATCAACCATCCTATCTATTCATCCACCTCTCTGTCCGTCCAACCATCCTATCTATTAATCCATCTATCTATTCATCCTATCTATTCATCCATCTCTCCGTCCATCCAACCAACCAACCAATCAAGCATCCTATTTATTTATTCATCCATCCACTCAATCAATCAATCATCCTATCTATTCATCCACCTCTCCATCCGTCCAACCATCCTATCTATTAGTCCATCCATCTATTCATCCTATCTATTCATCCATCTCTCTGTCTGTCCATCCGTCCATCCATCCAACCAACCAACCATCCTAGCTACCTATCTATCTATCCATCCATCCATCCATCCTACCATCCTATCTATCTGACTACCTACCTACCTATGGCAAAGGTGGCTCAAAGTCCTGAAAAATTACAGTTTCCAGGATTCTGTAGCATTGACTTAAAGTCCAAAACACCTAGAGGGCTGAAGTTTGCCCATGCCTGGTGTAGACTCACCATTTCCAGATGGTGCCGTAATGCTGTAAACCACAGAGAGCCCTGTCCCCCCTCGGTTTCTTGTCCGCAGCTCCAAACTTGCATTAGTCTTCACCAAAACAGGGCATTGGAGCTCGATCTCTTCAGGGGGAGAAACCACTTCTACTTCTGCCCAGGCCGTGGTCAATCGGCTACTGCTAAAGGCGGTGACTGTGACATTGTAGTGCCCTGGTGATGTGTATCTATGGTGGATGGAAGCCTTGGTGGTGTTCAAACACCCCGTCCCATCTCCAAAGTCCCACTCCAGGTAGCCGAGGGCAATGGGGGCGTGGAGCTCAAAAGGCGCCTCTTGGAAAAGGTCCACGGGGGCCATTGGTCCGTGAATGGAGATGGACAATTGAGATGGGAAGATGCCAGGCACCACAGAGGGTCCGACACATGAGGGTCCGGTGGGAAATTCGGCACAGAATGACAGGCATCCCACTGAAGAATTGGGCTCAAGGGCATCACCACACAAGCAATCGGATTCATCGCTGAAGCCTCCATACTCCAAGCCTTCTCTATAGCAATGGGCGCTGCAAGCAGCTTGGGTCAAGTTCGGGAAGAATTGGGTGGTGAAGCGGACGACGGCATCGGTCAACCCGGTCTGGTTGTCGTTCAGGCACCCGATGTGGCCGGCTTCTATGGGAGAGAATTCCAGTAGCATAACAGTATTAGTATTATTGCTAATAATAGTAATAATAGTTATTGTTGTTGTTGTGTCCCTGCTTGACAGAAGGAGGTTGGACTGGATGGCCCTTGGAGGTCCCTTCCAACTCTGATTCTATGACAATGAAATACGTTGCTTCCTGACAGGCCAGTAGACGTTTTGAAGCAGAGAATAGATGACCACCTGTCAGGAGGAATTGCATTGTTTCTTCGTGCACAGCAGAAAGGGATTGGTCTGAATGGCCTTTGGAAGTCCCTTCCAACTCTAGGATTCTATGATTCTATAGCCCTTATTTCTCTGTGAACCTTCCAGTGTCTGTGAGATTGGGTGGCCATCTGTTGGGAGGGCTTTGATGGTATATTCCTGTGTTGGCCAAATGCGATTGGACATTATTGTCATTATTATTATTATTATTATTATTATTATTATTTATAATAATAATAATAATAATAATAATAATAATAATAATATAATAATAATAATAAACAACTTTATTTATACCCTGCCACCATCTCCCCAAAGGGGACTCGGGGAGGTTAACATGAGACCAAGCCCTTCTAAAAATACAATACAACACAGTAAAATACAAAATACAAAACAATATATATATAAAAAATTACAATAACAAAATGAAATAGTAAAGCAAATTTATGCCCTGCTTTTCTCTCCAGCAAGGAAACTCAAAGCGGCTCACATTAAAACGCCTTTCCATACAGTTTATTGATCTACAATCATTAAAACAGAATTAGAAATATAAATGGTATTTTAAAAAAATCACAATTAAAAACCATAAAAAACATAATCAAAACGAAAAACCACAGTACATGATCTTTAAAATCTTCTTCTTTAAAAGCCTTCAATGTAAGCTGCTTTGAGTCTCCTTTTGGAGAGAAGAAGTGGGGTATAAATAAACATAATAATAATAATAATAATAATAATAATAATAATAATAATAATACAGGCACATTCAGCCACAAAGGAAGACCCAATCAAAGCCCTCCTGTCAGATGGCCACCCAACCTCATAGACACTGGAAGATTCACAGGGAAATAGATGCTAAAGAATCATAGAATCTTAGAGTTGAAGGGACCCCTAAAGGCCATCCAGACACACCCCTTCTGCTACGTAGGAAGGCACAATTCAATCTCTCCTGACAGATGGCCATTCAGTCTTTACAATCATCCACTGGATTGCCAGGAATCAGCGTATTCCATTGTCACAGAATTAAAGAGTTGGGAGGAACCTCCAAGGGCCATCCAGTCCAACCCCCTTCTGACAGGCACGAAGGCACCATCTAATCCACTGGTTCTCAACCTGTGGGTCCCCAGATGTTTTGGCCTACAACTCCCAGAAATTCTAGCCAGTCTACCAGCTGTTAGGATTTCTGGAAGTTGAAGGCCTAAACATCTGGGGACCCACAGCTTGGGAACCACTGATTTAATGCCTCATGACAAATAGTCACCCAACCTCACAGGTATCTGCAGGTTCATGGAGAAGTAGGGCTATATAGTATAGCATCACAGGATCCTAGAGTTGAAAGAGACACCCAAAGGCTATCTAGTCCAATCTCCTTCTGCCGAGAAGGAAGACACTATCCAAGCTCTCCTGGAAGATGGCCATCCAGCCTCTGTTTGTTTAAAGAGTTGGAAGAGACCACTAAAGGCCATCCAATCCATTCCCATTGTGCCAGGATACACACAAATCATAGAATCCTGCAACTGCAGTTTCAGAATAGTAGTAATAATAATAATAATAATAATAATAATAATAATAATAATAAATATCATAGAGTTAGAAAAGACCTCAAAGGCCACCCAGTCCATGCAGAAATAAAAACAATAATAGTAATAGTAATAGTAATAGTAATAATAATAATAATAATAATAATAATAATAATAAAGAGTTGTAAAATACTCCAAGGGCCATCCAGTCCTTGTAGAAATAACAACAACAACAACAACAACAACAAAGAGTTGGAAAAGACCCCAAAAGCCAAGGGCTATCCAGACCAGGCAGGAATAATAATAACAACACAACAACAACAACAATAATATAGAGTTGGAAAGACTCCAAGGGCCATCCAGTCCATGCAGAAACAACAACAATAATAACAACAACAACAACACAGAGTTGGAAAGACTCCAGAGGCCATCCAGTCCAACCCCCCTTCTGTCACAGAGGAAGACACAATCCAAGTACTCCTGACAGATGGCTGTTCGGCCTCGGCTTGAAAATCTACAAAGAGGGAATCCTAGAATCCTATAGTTGAAAGGACCCCAAGAGTTATCCAGCCCAACCCCCTTCTTTATGTACCGCATGTAGTGTCAGTAAATGAAAGGTTGAAAAGGGGGGCGCCGGCCAACTCCGGAGGGAGAGTGCATCTGGTAGCGGACCGGTGGGCGACTCTGATGTTGCGCTCTTCCAGCCACCGAGGGAGCCAGGCCAGGCTGCAGTTGCAGACGAAGGGGTTGCCACTGAGGTTTCTAAGGAGGAAACCACGGGGAGTATTAGCACAAGAGAGAGAGATGTAGTCTGACTCTTTTGCAGTCTGCAACTTAAGTCCTGGAAGAACAGGTGCAGTTTGACAGTTTTACTGCTGTGGCTCAATGCGATGGAATCCTAGGAGTCGTTGTTTGCCACTCTTTGGCAGATCTTGGAAAACTGCAACTCCAATTGTAGAATTCCCATTGTAGAATTCTAAGGTCTTTCTCAGACCTTGGAAAACTACAACTCCCATTGAAGAATTAATGCAGTTTAAACCCCTCTTCCATGGACGAAGTCAATGGGATCCTGGGAGTTGTAGCTTGCCACCCTTTAGCAGACCTTGGAAAACTACAACTCCCAATGCAGAGTTAATGCAGTTTGAGCCCCTCTTTCATGGGTGAGGTCTTTTGGATCCTGGGAATTGTAGTGTGCCACTCTTCGTCAGACCTTGGAAAACCACAACTCCCATTGTAGAATTAATGTAGTTTGCACCCCTCTTCTGTGGATGAGGTATATGGGAGCTTGGGAGTTGTAGTTTGCCTCTCTTTGGAAGACCTTGGAAAACCACAACTCCCACTGTAGAATTAATGCAGTTTGCACCCCTCTTCCGTGGATGAGGTGTATGGGATCCTGGAAGTTCTAGTTTGCCACTCTTCAGCAGACCTTGGAAAACTACAACTCCCATTGTAGAATTAATGCAGTTTGGGCCCCTCTTCTGTGGATGAGGTCTATGGGAGCCTGGGAGATGTAGTTTGCCACTCTTTGGCAGACCTCGGAAAGCTACAACTCCCATTGTAGAATTAATGCAGTTTGGACCCCTCTTCCATGGATGAGATCTATGGGAGCCTGGGAGTTGTAGTTTGCCACTCTTTGGCAGACCTTAGAAAACAACAATTCTCATTGTAAAATTAATGCAATTTGGGCCCCTCCTCAGTGAATGAAATCTATGGGGTCCTGGGAGTTGTAGTTTGCCACTCTTTGGCAAGGAAGGCTTCAAGTTCTTGGAAAACTACAATTCCCAGGATCACAGCAGTTCAGGTGGTCTCAAACTGCATTAACTCTACATTGTAGACGCACCCACCAAATCCAGGCTAAGATCAAACTGTTTTTGAAAAGACATGAAAAATCAACCTCATACTTACATTTCACTTAAATTAAATAAATTATCAAATATTCCTTCTTCTAAGGTAGAAATCCTGTTGTTGCTGATATCTCTGTAAGGACAAAGAGAAAGGGGAAAAAATATTACCATTACAAAGAAATCCTCCTCATTCCTCTTCTCCCTGCTCAAAATTACAAGTATTTTTCACCAGAAAAAGGCTATAAAAGCCTAACGCTCAAAATGACATTTTAAATAGCAATTCCTTATTTGAATTGCTAGACACCAGAAACATTTTCGATTTTGGATATTTTTCCCCCAAAAAATGTTGGAATAATTGCAACGAATATCCTTAAAATTCCCCCAAAATTTCAACGAGTGCAATAAAATACTCACAATTTTTTCAGGGAAGTGAGATACTCAAATGCCTCCGGGTTTAAAGCTGTGATTTTGTTGCTGGACAGATTCCTAGAAGGAAAGGAAAAAAGAGGGAAAATCAGGCCCAATTATTTTGATATACATATACATCTATATATTCAGGTGGGATACATGTATCAGAAAGTTTGCTGTTAATGCTAAGGCTAAATTTATCAGAACACATACACACACAGAACCTAAAATATAGCTAGATATAGATATGGATACAGAAATATAGCTAAATAGATATGGATACAGATATAGGAATATAAATATATAGATCTATGGAGATTACATAGATATAGTCATAGCCATATCTATCATCTGTATCTATATCTATATGGCTACAGATATAGACATGGATTAAGATATGGAGACATAAATATGGTATAAATATCAATATTCGATATGGATATAGGTATAGATATAAATAGATATGGATTTGAATATGAATATAGGTATACATATCAATATAGACATGGCTGTGGTTATGGATATAGGTATAGATATAAATATGGATGAGAATATGGATATACATATAGATAAAGATATGGTCATGAATATCGATATAGGTATAGACATAAATATGGATGTGAATATGGATGTGTATAGATATAGATGTGGCTGTGAATATGGATATAGGTATATATATTCATATAGATATGGACGTGACTATGTATAGATATAAATAAAGACATGAAAATGGATTTAAGTATAGATTTACATATAGATGAAAATATGATATATACATAGATATACATAGAGATACGGAAGTAAATATAGATATAGGTACAGATATAGATACAGATATAGATGTGAATATGGATATAGGTACAGATATAAATACAGATATGGGTGTGAATATGGATATAGTTATGGATCTGGATATATAGATATTGATCTAGATATATAGATATTGATGTAGATACAAATATAGGTATAGATATATATAGAGCTATGGAAGTAAATATGGATATAGATATAGATACAGATATGGATGTGAATATGGATATAGGTATAGATATTAGGCTTGGGCGGTTTCGTTCGTTAATTTCGTAATTCGTTATTAATTCGTATTTAAATTAGCTTATGATCCAATATTGAGCCATGCAGGACTACTGTGAGGAGTAATTAAAAATCGAAACAATTTTTCCAATTTATTTCGTATTGTTTCGTAATTGTTTCGTAATTGGTTCAAAATTGTTTCGAAATTGTTTCGTAATTGTTTCGTAATTATTTCCGTATGTCTGGTGCAAGTTTTATAGTTGTTGTTTGTTTTATCAGTGATAAAAAATAAATTATCACACCAACAGTCAACAACAGAGGGAGAGGGAAGCTTCAGAAGTTCCCCCTGTCCCATTTGGAGGGTTTTTTAGCATATTGCACAATTGCGTCCGCCATTAACGAATCGATTCGTAATTTTACAAAATTTCGTATATTTCGAACTTTTTTAAAGGAAAATTTCGGAATTCTTTAAAAAAACGAAACGCAAGGGCCCCCCTAAAAACGAAACGAGTTTAGAACCAAATTTTTCCATAGTTACCCAAGCCTAATAGATATAAATAGAGATATGGGTGTTAATATGGATATAGGTATAGATATAAATACAGTTATGGATGTTAATATGGATACAGTTATGTATCTGGATATCTAGATATTGATCTAGATATATAAATAGTGATATAGATACAAATATCAATATAGATACAGATACATGGATATAGATACTGTATATACAGATAGCAACTCTTTTGCCAGTGCTCGCAGCCCTGCATCACTTGAACCAGGAAACATCCCCTTCCCACATTATCACCAACATTTTTATTTCCCACCCCCCACCCCTTTTTACAGATCAGCTGTGTGAGAAACCATCCAAGCAAACATTAAAAAGCAACAACACACAACCCCTGGCTGTACAAAACCATAAAATGCAATAAAATAAATATTAACATTGCTCTTTGCATGGAGATTCCCACGTCCGGCTCGGAGAGCTGGCCTCCAAGATTAAATTCCGCCGGTCATTCGTCCAAGTTTTCAAATTCAAGTCGGGTCAAAACAACTTTTAAGGAGGTGGTTGATCCAAGGAGAAAGTTGACGCTTGTGGAATTTCAGGGAGAGACATAGCTTTGTTCAGAAACAGTTTGGGGACGTATCTACACTCTAGAATTAATGCAGTTTCGGACTACTTCAAGTGCTGTGGTTCAATGCTATGCAATCCTGAAAGCCGCACTTTCTCTTAGCCTTTCATTGCATTGATTGCATTGCACTGAACTAGGGTGGTTCAAGGGGTGCTCAAACTGCATTAACTCTGCAGTGTAGATGCCCTGAAAGCAGGCTTTTTGAACCATATTATTTTCCCAAGCGCAAGACGAAGCAGGACGCAATGTTCGCTTCAAAGAGCCAAGGAAAACGCTGCTCGAGGCACAAAAACAACAAGAAAGAGGGCCAGCCAATCGGGAGTGGATTTGCTGCGGTATTTTTTCCCTGGGATTTTTTTTTTTTTGGAGCGAATCCGGTGTCCTTGGTCCAGAGCCTTCTGAGTGGGAGGAGGCCCAAAGGGGACTAGATCTCCCAGATCTCCCATTTCTGCCCAAACTACAGATCCCAGCACCCCATAGCAAGAGCAATGGTGCCAAAGTGCATTCGTTCCCCAGTGCGAAACACCCAACGGCATTGTTCGGTGGGTGGCATGCAACCAAATCAGAAAACGGAATAACCCCAAATTATATAAAATAGGTTTTCATCGGCGAGAGGTAATCAGAGACGGCTTTATTATGGCCACCCGGTAGGTCTGCATAATATTCCAATTGCTCCTAATGAACTTTCCTTTCTCTTCTCGCCCCATTTTAGACCCTCCTGAGCATTGGGAGGAACCAAAAAGGCTTTCATTTGCTAAATATGATTTTAGAAAGCAAGGACTACATAAAACCGTGACTACAACTCCCAAAACTCAAAGCAGGAAAGTACGGAATTTGGAAGCAAACAATACACAGACACGGATTTACTTTTGGGGGACTACAACTCCCAGAATCCAAAGCAGGAAAGTACAGAATTTGGAAGGAAATAATACACAGACACGGATTTACTTTTGGGGAACTACAACTCCCAAAATCTAAAGCAGGAAAGTATAGAATCTGGAAGCAAATAATACACAGACACGGATTTACTTTTGGGGAACTACAACTCCCTAAATCCGAAGCAGAAAAGCATGGAATTTGGAAGCAAATAATACACAGACACGGCTTTACTTTTGGGGGACTACAACTTCCAAAATCCAAAGCAGGAAAGTACGGAAAATGGAAGCAGACATGGACTTACTTCTGGGGAATGATAACTCCCAAAATCCAAAGCAGGAAAATACGGAATTTGGAAGCAAATAATATACAGACACTGATTTACTTTTGGGAGACTACAACTCCCAAAATCCAAAGCAGGAAAGTACAGAATTTGGAAGCAAATAATACAAAGACATGGATTTACTTCTGGAGGACTACAACTCCCATTATCCAAAGCAAGAAAGTACGGAATATGGAAACAATACACAGACACGGATTTACTTTTGGGGGACTACAACTCCCAAAATCCAAAGCAGGAAAGTAAAGAATTTGGAAGTAAATACTACACAGACACAGATTTACTTTTGGGAGACTACAACTCCCAAAATCCAAAGCAAGAAAGTATGGAATTTGTAAGCAAATAATACACATATTTGCGAAATATACTTTAAAAAGGAAGAGCTACGAGGACTTTTCCTTCCAACACTTCATGGAGAAAGCTACGGATGCATCTATACTGTAGGATGAATGCAGTTTGATCCCACTTTAGCTCAATGCCATGGCATCCTGGGACTTGTAGATTTGCAAGGTCTTGATCCTTTTCTGCCAAACTACATCTCTGAGGATTTCATAGAAGTTGAAAGTGGGGCCAAATTGAGTTAATTCAACCCTGAGTCTCTAAGTGGCACTTGCTAGCATCATTTTGGAGCGAAACCATGCTTTTGGGACTCAATGTTTGCTCTTAAAATATCTTTTTAGGGCAAGACTTCTATGGTAACAAAGAAGGAATGAAGGATAGGAATGGAGAGGAGAATAGGATGCCTTTGGAAAGAAGAGGGTTGCCGAGAGCTGCCTCAATACTCGATGGAATTGCTGCCAAGTCAGCTTCGATATACGATACCTCTAATGTCTTAGGCCCGTGGGAAGAGCCTGACATTCAGAGACGAATCCCAGACACTTGGACTTAATATGCATGTGTGCTGTGTTGTTATGTACAAATAAATACCGAAAGATAGTTGCATCTGTCAAGTAGGAAATTTAGGTACCACTTTATGTGTGGAGGCTAATTTAACTAATTTACAACACCATAAAACTTTCCAGCAGCATGCACAAGAATGAGGAAGCACTCCATCAAGGACTTGGTGTCACAAGTGGATGGTGAAGCGGCAGCTCCCCCTGTGGCCGGATTCCAGCATACCCTCATGAAGCTGGAAAAGCTGGAATGTTAAATTCCCTCTGTGTCTGTCTGTATATGTTGTATGTCTAATGGCATTGAATGTTTGCCATGTATATGTGCATTGTAATCTGCTGCAGGGTGAGAAGAGCGGAATATAAACACTGTAAAATAAATAAATAAATAAATCTGCTTCTGCCATGTAGGAAGACACCATCGAAGCCCTCCTGATAGACGGACATCCAGTCTGTTTGATGATGATGATGATGATGATGATGATGATGATGATGATGATAGAACTATAGAATCCAAACACAGCCACAGAAGCGCAAGAGGCTTGGATGCACCTTCGTGGCCAAAAGGACGCATCGTGCCGAACGGCAAGGCTTCTCCGGCCAAGACTGATGTCATGTTCCCATGATGTCACCGTCCCGCCTTTGTTTCTCCGGAAAAGAAAAGACTGAGAACGAAGGGAGAGAGGGAGGAGAAGGACGGCTGGCTCCGGAGGCCTTTTCTTCTCTGTGTTTTCCTTGTCGGGAGATGCTTTTCTCATTACGAGCCGTAATGGGAAAAGCATCTCTCGGCAAGTTAAGCGGCCTGAT